ATTCTTTGAGTCCATGATATTCGTAGGATTCTTCTGTAACACCAAAATTCAAAGGCGGCCAACTTATTCAGATGAACTTGTTTTAGTGTCCAAGCTTCCAGACCATAAAGAAGAGTAGAGAACACGTAACATCGAAGCATTCTCAGGCGTAGTTCTAACCTTATATCCCGACAACAAAGAAACTTTTAAGTTTAATAAATGATGTACGTGCTATTTCAATACGTGTCTTAATTTCTTTGGTTTCGTCTACATCTGATGTTATCCATGTTCTTAAGTATTTATAGTTATTAACACTCTCAATTGCAGTATCTTCAATAGTCAATTGGATATTTGCATGTGCAGATTTAGTCATGATCATGCATTTAGTTTTCTTTAAATTTATCTTCAGTCCGTACTCATGACAGCGTTCATTAAGGCGTTGCATTACGTTCTGTAAATCATTGTTGTTATCCGTAATTATTACTGTATCGTCTGCAAAACGTAAGTTATTCAAAACTTCTCCATTGATAGATATACCTTCTATTGAGTCTGAGAGCGCTTCTTGAAATACCGCTTCACTGTAGACATTGAAAAGTAGTGGGTACAGCACGCAACCCTGGCGGACTCCTCTCTGTATTTTGATATTTTCGGTGTACTGGCTGTCAACTCTTACCTTGGCAGTTTGATTCCAATATAAATTAGATATAAATTAGATTGTTAGTGATTATGAATGATATATGACTGAATTTAAATGTATAAACTATTGTACAATGAATTTAAATGTCGCGTTGAGGGCAGTTGTCGCTGTATCCTCCCTGTACAATAGGATCGGGGATTCACAGAAAACCGATCCCTTCTTGTCTGTGGCAGAGCTCGAAGTAAGCTATTTAGCTGGTTACGATAATAAAGTGGAGTTACCACCAGGATGTAAACGTATTCATCAGGGAGTTCATTGCTGGCTGAGGCCAACAGTTTTGTCGGAGGAAAAAGGTAGTTTTCTTTATATAGTCTGATTGTCATTGCCAAAGCATGAGCAGGTAGTTCCGATTATGTTTTGGTCTCTGATGGTTTTATTCGAATAACTCCTGCCCAGAGAGGAGAACCTTTCATATATCTGCTGGATGTTCGCTATTTGATGTCTGATGTCGAAGGAGTGGCAGAGCCTCACCTTCCGACTCTCCTTTTTTATACAGGCTTGGACCGGCTTGTCATTACTGCTCAAAAAAATATTAAATATTTTAAATTTATTATTTTTTTATTGATAATTTCTTGTAATGGATAATATTTGTCTGACTTATATCTTATTGCAAAACTACGATGTGATAAAATTGTTATCTGCATAATCTTTTGTTCTATAATAGTTCTTTACACAGAACAATTAAGATCATAGGATTAAACTATGATTTGAATTAAAATTGTTTCTTATCTTCCATTTATATCGGATAAAAATATCATAAAAATATTTCTAAAATCACAGTTCACTGAAATATAATACTTCAATAAACAATTATATTAAGTGCATCAATCCCGCAGATATTATCATTGATTTTTATAAAATTAAGACAAAGGTAGCAAGTTAAAGATAGCAATTTTCGTATAATTTATGTTTAAAAAATCTCAAATCACATAAAAATCTACAAACGTACATTAGCCCTTAAGGGCAAAATGTCGCTTGTCAAAATGTTCAATGTGTTTTAAACGTATTAACTTTTTTCGAATCCTGAGAAAACTAATTAGTATATTTAAAAAATTTAAACGCAGAATGAAAAATTACTTTATTACCGAGGGTCGAAAGTCCCTGAAAACTTCAATGTTTATTTTAATTAGTTACAGCGGTGAAAAGAAAAGAGAAAATTTAGTGTGACTTTTAATTTTAAATATCGTATTCAAAAGAAACTTTTTGGTTATTCTAAGGGACTTTCGGCCCTCGGTAAGTATTAGTTTTCTCAGAATTCGAAAAAATTGAATATATTTAAAACGCATTAAACATTTTGCGCCTATGCCCTTTAGACTTCAGTTGGTCCACGACTTGCTGGATTATTCCTTTTCCAGTCTTTCCTATTTCTTACTCTCCTTTTCCTATGCATTCATATGAATGCATATAAGTATCCTATTAATCCAATCTTAAGTACGTAAGTATCCTTAGCTATATAATAAACCTTAAAAAAATTCCCGACAATTGGTATTTCCAGTAGTCACGGTCACGAAATACGAAATCAATTTCTCGCAAAATAGCAAAATAATGTCTAATCGTTTTGGTAATTCTTGATTACATTACTGCTGTTTATAAGAATGTTTATGTTAAACAACGATTATTGATGCTGATTCTGAGAATTCGGGGATTTTTATGTATAAACAGTGAACTTTTTCTTGTATACAAATTATTTACAGCATAATTTATTAATATACAAGCGTAAAAATAATTTATTGGCCGCGAACACGAAGACATTAGTGTTAAAACTTAATCAATAATAAATAACATGTTTTCGACAATCGATTCATTTTCAACGACAAATTCAATTCAATCATTACTCTCTATTTCATTCATAAAACACAAAAATCACACAGTGATGATTGAAGTGTGTAATGCTTGTTTTCATTCACTGAATAACTATAGTGTGCTAGGACGGAGGAACATATTATACAGATTGAACGAAATAAATTCGGAACATACGAAATATTATGAATTTCGGCTCAATTCTGCTGTAGGTGGTTGGCCAACAAAAGGTTGTCAAATAATATATTATAAAAATCCAATACTTCAGCGGGCTGCTGGATTCTGAACTAATTCAAGAACTCATTCATAGGTGGTCAAACCACCTATCGCTTCCTAAAGCCGGCCACTCACGGTACAGCGGTGTCGTTCGACATAATCGGACAGAGGCGTTGTTCAATTTGTTGGTATATCTGGTGCGCCCACACACCATACTGCGCCGCAGTATTTGTTCGGTTCTCGACCATGTCAAATCAAACAATCATTTTAGCGTCTCTTACTTTGTGTATAAATTCTTTGTGTATAGATTCTGGTGCAAAGAATCCAAGATTTTGGTGCAAAATAAATCTCGTCTGCCCCTGCACCCGATTTACTGGACTGCACTGCTAATTTTAATTCTCTTTTATAGGATGTTCTAAAATTGTTAATTTTTTTTTCTTACATACTCTTCATTCGCATCTTTGTTTACTTCTTGGAACTTTAAAACTAGAATGTCCATTGCCTGTTTTCGGGCGTTTCTATCGTGATACGTTTTACCTTTTATTCGCTATAGCATTCTTGTTTTTTATATAATTTAAAAAACTCTCTTAAAAAATTCTCGCTAAATCAAGCCATTTCGATTTTCTATAATATGATCAAAGCAAGTTTTTAGTTAAAAACGAAGTTGAACAACGCCGCTGTATCGTGAGTGGCCGCCTTTAGGCAAGCCCCTCTTTCGTTTATCGAAGATGGAGATTTTGAGCGGTGTTGCCAATATCATTCCACTAGATGTTTCTAAAATAACTACAAACTTCTGAAATAACTACAAACCATTAAGTTTATTTTTGTTATTAGTCTGTTGTAGTAGATTGGTAAATACAATGAAAAATATAGGCAAATATCCAATTTATTTAAAGATACGAAGAAGATATAACTCTCAAAAAGATCCGCAAATCGGATTATTACACGGCGATTGGCCACATTGACTTTGAGCTGCGCTCTAGACTATGGTGCGTTCTAAAAGGAGACGGATAGTTAAACGATATTTTATACAATGTCTAACACCGGGTATGGATTTATTTTTGTCCAAGTTTTATATTGGTCCACTATTTCAAATGCAGTTCAAACAGACATATATTAAATTGTATGATCCGTTTTAAATTCGTTCAATCTGTATAACCATTTCCATTATGAAAGTGAATAACTCTTATTTATCCTAAAATTGTCGCTATTCTACACTGGGAGGACATTTGTTAAAGAATCAGGGATCATTTTGTCCGGATGATATTAGATGATTTGATGATTATATTCTACCACATACCTGCTGGCAACAAGGAGATTTGTGCTGGAATATAGGTGATACGATCAACGGCTGAAAACACAATATGGAAGAGTGGAAGAACCAAACTCTTCTAATCTCTAATTCTAATCAAAGTCGGGATAGTGTATATTATAGTCAAACAATTTATTAGAAAGTGATTCATTGGTACGAACTTATTTTAAAAATACCAACTGTTGGAAATTCTACAATTCCAGCGGCGTTGTTATTTCAATGTTTTTTTTAGAATTAAATTATTTTTACTAGCAATTAATTCCATTGTGATCTGTACGTACCTTTGTCGTTCTGCCAATTTCGCAATTCTCCAAATGGGAATATAAGTGACTTATATGTGACTTCCTATGGTCAACGCTTTTATCTGAATTAATTTCTTAAATCCACATATATCATTGGCAAATTCGTGATATCTAAAACCTGTTATGGACAAGGAAATATGTACTGTGGCGGCGACATCTGTGAAGATCGTATCACCATCGAATTCATACTTGTCATCGTATTATATTTTTGTTGATAACGTTGATATGTAGTAAAAACTTAAATAATCTGGTATTATTTATTATCTTGTTCTTCTTCTTCATACTTTTAAAACAGGCTTAATGCCTGTTTTACTTCGGTTTTTAGCCTCAATTGACGTTGGCTGACCATCTTTTCTTCGGTCGTCCCAATGATCTTCCATTTGGCGATTTGTCTCTTGCTATTCGTACTATTCCATTTTCTGTCATTCTTTCGATGTGTTGATTCCATTCAACTTTTCTTCTTTTGGTCCACGCGTTAGTTCCCTATACCACATCTCGCTCTTATTTCCTCACTTCTAACTCTGTCTCTTAGAGTTTGGTTTGTTATTTTTCGTACGACTTTCATTTCTGTTGTTTCCAGCAGTCTTTGTGTTTTAGCCGTATCTGCTCTTGTTTTCGCTGTATACGTCTACTGTTTTATCTTTTTTTAGTTTTATCTAGCTTATGTTATTAAATAATTCTTTTTTTTTTTCAGGTACAAGCTACTGATCTAAAAGTTAGCATCTATTATGAATCTTTGTGCCCCGATAGTATCGCATTTATCAAAAATCAGTTCTACCCTGCTTACAGTACTGTACTTCAGGACAAGATAAAAGTGGATTTGGTGCCTTTTGGAAAAGCAACGGTAAGTTGGTACCTACATCGAAATGTCGGTTCATTAAAATCAAAGTTAATTCAAAAACAAGATCTTGGATATCTGAACGAAAGAAAACTTATTGTATCAATTATACAAATTGAATTTGAAAAGATAACGCTAGAAATAACAAGACAAATTGTGTATTTACTTGGATATGGAGAATCGTAGAAGGTGCAACTTCTGCATTTCTGTAGCTCTAAAAAGATTTTGGAGACCGCTAGTTGCAGTAGGAAACAGTTCTAGGACGTTTCAAATACATCAACTCTGCATATGACCGTTATTTATATATGCACTGTAGATTTGACAACGATAACTATATAACTTTCTCTTCAGTGTGCTTATTATTTATATATACATACTATATATACCCCAGTTCCATTTAAAATAATTAAGAGAATTTGGATTCAGACCAAGATGACGCTTTACCGTTTCATTTTAAAGAGAACCTGCTTGATATTCGCAAGAAAACAAGTTAATTATGATACTAAAGAATTGACTAATATTTTTTGTGCATTTTTATCAAAATTTTTTTTAATTGTGTTAGTCAACCGCAGTATAGTACAACATATAGTATTGGATTTTTATTGCTTAATTATGTGATGTAAATGTAAATACTTGTTTTTTAGGCGACAAAAAGTGATAATGGTACGTGGACCTTTACATGCCAGCACAAAGAACCAGAATGCTATGGTAACAAAATTCAGTCGTGTGCAATCGACATTGCTTCGTATAATACAAGCATCGAATTTGTCGTGTGCGCTATGAAGTCAGGAAATGCTAGCAATAATGATTATCTTAAAGAGGTAAGAAATATTAAACCGTTGAAACGTCGAAAAAAACAGTTCATACAATTTCGCCACAATTATTTAGCAGATTATAGGAGTTTCTTACATTGTATTAATATGGTATTTAGCCGGCACGCCCTTCCGGTAAGGATCTATGGAAGAGTATCACCGAGACGCAAGCTCTTATCTCTTGCCGTACTGCTCCACCACAGGCCGATCAGACACCAACATATTCTAGTCTAAGCCGCTGATTCATTTAGAATTTTAAACTTCTGCTTTAGCCTTTTTATTTTTTTATACGCCGAGCTGGGTTCGAACCCACATCCATTGAACCATTCGACAGTGAAGCGAATGAGAATCGGCCGCCTAGACCGCTTGGCTATCTGACCGACTGTATCAATATATTATTACTAATATACTAACATATTTTTTCTACAAGGTATCCTTCTTCTTCTTGCATTCAGCGTCTCCTGTAGAGATTACTGATCAACATGGCTATTCTCACTTTGGAAACTCCTATACGCAATAATACGACCAATGTCATAACAAAACTTTCACGAAGTTTTCGTAGCTAAGAAATTCTTTTTTATCTCACACTTCTTCGTTTAACGATCTTTTCTCGCATTTTAAATTGTAGGAACTCATATCTTATGCCTCTACAGACGTGGCCAAGAAATTCAAGTTTTCTCATAGTTATAATAAATAATATAGTTTCAGGTTCAATATTGAGTCTTTCCAGCACTACTTGATTTATGCCTATCGATCCGGTAGACTTAAGTTTCTCGTGCTTAACCTTATCAAAGGCTTTAATATAGGCAATGCAACAGACAACTGTAACTAGTTGAGTTACTGTGACCAAATGCTCATCTTGGTAGTTAGTATTCGCCTCTGGTTGCGTTGAGTAACTGAGTTACCGTTGCTAACTACCCATCTTCCTGTCTTTTGTTTTCTTTTTCTTTGTTCTCCTGAAGAAGCTACATACAATTGTAGCAAAACGTCGAGATGAACCCACTTTTGGGTCACTCACAAATGACACGGTCCAAAACCGGAAGACGAATAAACTATATCTTCTTCTTCTTTGGGTGCCGTGTCCGTATTCAGACGTTGGCCGTCATCATGTTTACAATTTCCTGAAACCTTTCTCTATCGGCTGCTGCGCGAAATAATTCTTCTACTGGAAACCACACCATTGTCGAATATTACGCAGCCATGAAAGTTTCTTTCGACCAATCCATCTCTTTCCTTCCACTTTTCCTTGTATTATAAGGCGAAGTAAATGGTATTTAGGTCCTCTAATTATATGGCCGAAGTATTCTGTTTTTCTCCTCTTTATGGTGTTCTTTATGGTGAAGGTAAACGGTAAAAACAGAAAACGATGGCAATTATCCATACAACAATGGGTCTAAAAGACCTCTTAGCGCTATATATAAATACATAATTCGTAGGAAAACTTTTAATATATGAATCATTAGGCTTATAAGCCGATAATCATCGCAGTTGATAGGACGGGACTTCTTTGGAACGGTGACAAAAGTGGGGATGATCCTTTTTTTTGGAACTATTACAGTTCTAAAAATACATTTGAATAGTAGAATTTTATCTAATATTCTTAAGTTTCCTTCTGCTTTGCCAGTTTTTGCTATTTTTATGGCTTGTCTTACCTCAGAAGGTGTTATTGGAAGTGCATCTTCCGAAATTGTTATCATGCAATTCCTTGATCTATAAAAGAGCTGAGATATGCAATTATTCAAGTATATGTTTTTTTTATAAGTTCATGATTATTGTACCGTTTCCATTACAAAATATTAGAGGTAAGAATTTCTTTGTTAAATAGTGTAAAATAGAGAATATCCTACATAGATTTTCTATCGATTTAAGGTCATTTAAATATTACAATACCCTTAGACATAAATTGTACGTTCAATCACGTTCACGTTTAATCTTTAGGATAAACCCAAAATATTTTTGAAGATACAGCTCTCCCCTAACGGATATCTCGAAGGTGTTTCATATTTTTTACATTAAATATTCATTAACATTTATATATAAATACATATAGATATATAATATAAATACATGTAGATAACGCAAATCTAAAATTCTAATGAACAATGTTTCATAAATTAAATGAAAAAACCTATTTTCATAAAAAACTTTTTGTTTTAAGTATTTTGTGGTCATATAAGATATAAAGTTATAAACTATGTTTATGGTGGTGTAAGCCACAATTTATTGTAATAAAAATTACATTTTATAATTATTTTTGACCTATTTTATATATTGAGTTCTTTGATATCTCTTGTGTGTTGTTAGGTTTGGGTTTGGACAGGATAGATTTCAGTGTATTGGTTGTTTTGAATGTTGTTGTGATTTTTATTTTCTATCCTTCTTAATTTTTCCTATAAGCCCTTCACATACGCGGTATTTTTGTCATATTTGATCTAAATAAGAAAAAAAAAACAACGGCATGTAGATTACTTTGAATTTACATAAAGTGGTTATATATTGTAGGTAGCTATGATTTTCAAAAAAAAAATCAGTCACTTTGGCCTGTGTTATCCGTCTTCAATTTTTTTAATCTTCTGATTTATTCTACGCAAGTTCAAAATGTCGAAAAGATTCGAAAGTTCTCCTTACTCAAAATAGTCTAGTAGAACTTTGGCAGCTTCTTTAACCCCCTGATTAGTTACTCTTTTGACTGATACCATCCCACAATGTTCTCCTACTTGACTCTTATTTCCGGATGAATCAGGTTGTGGCGTACCACACCGATTCCATACTAGTTCGACAAGAACGTTGTTGCTAAAGAGCTGGTAACCTGCGTAATCTTCTTCTTATTTTTATGTTAACATGTTCGTGTCTCCAGTAAGTTGTTGTTCCATCGTTTTCGTAGTATTCCTACTGATCGTCTTCTTATTAGTAAACCGTCTCTTGCCGTCTTTACTATGTTGTCATGCGGTTTATATGATCATTCCATTCTACTCTTCTATTTCTTACCCAGTTTTTGATGTTCTCCACCTTGCACCTATGTCGTATATCTGTACTTCTAGCTCTGCCCCATAGTGTCTTACCATAAATTTTTCTAAGTGTTTTCATCTCTGCCCTTTCGAACATTATTTTTGTCTTCTCTGTGACAGGTTGTGTTCCTGCCGCGTATGTTATTATTAATCTGATGATACATATACAATATAAATGTATTACTTTTAAACAAATTCATTTCATCAATTTCTTCTTCTTCTTCTTTCTTCTTGTATGTAAGCTTTAAACACTGTTTCTTCTTCAACATTAGCCTCCTAAATTGTTTAATTAATCGCACCATTCTTGGTCTGCCAATACTTCGTTCAATTGGTGATTTATCGAGTACTATCCTATCCTCTGTCATTTTACTAATGCGTTCGTTCCACTACTGTTTCTGTTTTTTCACCCATTCATTCATGTCTTTTATATTGCATGCTCTTATCATTTTGCTTCTCTTTCTCTCTCTCCTCTCTGCATCAGTTTTATTAAAGACGTATTTTAATCTTTGTCTGCATAACATAATATTTGGATCTCTTTGCTCCCTATTTCGTAATATTTGCTCCTCATTTCGTAACTATAACCTTTACGTACTGCTTGTATTATTTCGTCCATTATTATATTCAAGAGAAGTAGGCTTAACGAGTCACCCTGTCTGACTCCGCTTTTTACTGATATATACTGCGTTAGTTTTCCATTTATCTTTGCCTGTATTCGATTATGGAAGTAGATGTTTTCGATGGTTTGTATAATATTGATTGCTATGGTTCTTTTATATAGTATGTATAAGACGTCTTCGACTAGGATGCGATCGAAAGCCTTTGTCAGGTCTATAAAAATAGATATGCTGGTTTATTGTACTCGAGGGCCTTTTTTGTGATTTGTCTTAGTACAAATACAGCGTCTACGTAGGATCTTCCAGATCTGAATTCTTTCAATTTCAACTTCTTTTTTATTAATTTCTATATCCATCTTAACCCATTTCATTCCATTTTCAGTGTGCTGAAGAAAACCAAATCAAATGGGAAGACATCGAGAATTGCATAAAAACAGGTAAAGGTGATGAACTTCTTGCAAAGTATGGCGACCGTACGAATGCTGTAACACCGAAAATCACTTTTATCCCGACAATCGTATTCAATGACGTCTACAGCGCCGCACGACAAACATTGGCTCTAACAAACTTTTTGGAAGTGACAGAGGTGTTGCTGGAGGAACCAAACTGTGCCAAGTGTTCTAGCTCTATAGTAACTTTATCTATAGCTGTTTTGTTGTTGCCGTTGATATCAATGTTAAAACTTCATTGATAACTTTGTTTTAATTAATTCTTTAATTTATAGTAAATATTAAAAAAAAAAATTAATTCTTTACAATGTCACGACTGTGTTTAAAAGATAATGTAAATACATTTTGTACATTTCAATAAACTATCTGAAACTGATACATTATTATTTGGTAAAAATGAAGTCGTTTATAAATGTCTATATATTTTCTAAACAAATAACTCTCTGAGATCTCTAAAATTAATATCCCTGTAAGTAAAGTTCCTACAAAATCACTTGTAACATTCTAGAATCCAAAATATTTTAAAGCATTTCATAAAATATTCTGAACACATTTTGACGACTCCAGATGTCACTAAAGATGACCTGAATTATTTAGAGTTTCCTTGAAAGATTACAGAAGAAGTCTGACTCTTTTCTATCTATTCTGAAATCTTATAGCGCACAGTCAAATATTATTGGACAACCTCTAAATGTTTCAGAGTTTGCTCAAATCTTTCACAGTGCGTTAAAACCCAACAGTCTGTCCTGAAATCCACCAGAAATCTTTACAAAATTTTATGCTTTTCTGAATTCGTTGGGAGTCCCTTAAAACATTTCAGGATGTTGAGTTTCTGAACTCCTTTGAAACTCCTCCTGAAAATTGTCCTGAAATCCACCAGAGATCTTTACAAAATTTTATGCTCTTCTGCATTTGTCAGAAGTCCCTTAAAACATTTCAGGATAGCCTGAAATACCTGGATTCAATACCTGGAAGGTATTGAAATTGTCCAGAAATATTTGTACCATTTAATCCTCAACTAAATTTCTTCCAGGACGATCCTGAATAGATTATAATGTCATTCTAAACTCAAAATGCTCTAAATAATAAGTGGAGCTTTCTTAAAATATTCTAGCAGAATTCTTATGCATTTTTGGCTATTCTCAAGACTTAGGTACCTACAGAAGCCAACGAAATGTTTTTAAAAAATATTTTGAAATGACTTTTGAAAATTTTCAGAGCAACCTGAACTCAACAATTTGTCCTGAAATCTTTTACAGATCTCGGTAACATTTTTTGTCATGTTTATTTTATTTAGAGTCATTTAAAATATAATTTAGAGTCTAGTAAGTCTACAAAATCAATTAAACCATTTATACCTGTCCTCCACGTACTTCTGCAATATTCCATTTGCTCCAAACCCTTCTAGAGCATTCTTAAATACTTTAAAGTGATCTAAATTTTTTGATCACTGATTTTTAAATATTCTAAAAAAATTTCAGAATAGTCTTGAAATATTTTAGATTTTTCTCCTTTCAGACAGGCTTATAAAATACTTTGTAGTATTTTATGCTCTTCTTACTTTCTGCAGTATCTCTTAAAACATTTTAGTAGGGAAAAAGGTAAAAGAAATAATAAATAAGATTTACAATCAGTTTAATTTAACTATCTAGACGACCTATTGTAGAAAGTTTCACTTTCTACAATATGCAAAGCATCTTCAGGTCGTTCGATAAGGTTAATTAAATGCTGAAATAATAAAACTCATATTAGGGTATTGTCTTATAAAGATAAACAAAGATAAATGATATAAATTACAGTAATTATGCCAATATTACATGTCTGTGGTTATTCAAAAAATGAATAAGCAGACAAATTAAGACCCACAAATTGGTACAAAAATAGTCTATTGAATTGTAATAAATTAGTAAATAAACAAAACATTACTTACATGCCGGTACTCTATTAATTAATGGTTGGAAGAACATAGTTCAAACTATCCTGTATTGCTGAATGGAGAACTTCAGTTTTTACTATTGTAATTGTTTGACAATAAACGAAGAAGTTTCTTGAGGAGACAGCTTTTATCCAATGAAGTAGAAAATAGGTGTAATGTGATTGTTTGTTAAATGAGAGTGATGTTCTATATTATTTAATTCTTTAAAAGTTATTTATATTTATTCAAGAGATATATTTATGAAATGCATCAAATGTGTTTGACAACCTACATTAGCTTGTCAAATTTACCTCTAAAATCTAATAGACAAAAAACTCATTGTCTCTAAGTCAGGGATGTAGTGCATTTAAGTCCCCTTTTTTAAAATTTATTGTCTGTTTCGTCCTTTTTAAGTGTGTTCTTTTTGTCTCTAAGTGTCTTTAATTGTTTTAGTTTTAATAATTTTACATACTGGACTTTACAATCATTTGCCATTATAATAGTAAGTCAATTGAACATTATCAAAGAAATTTGATAAATACAAGTTGAAGAAAATTGCACACCCACACAATTGTACACCTAATTTCATTCATTGTCATACAACTGTCATCTTAATAAAATCTCAATAAATAACACACATTCTATAAATATATCTCTAGAATAAATATAAATAACTTTTAAAGAATTAAATAATATAGAACATCACTCTCATTTAACAAACAATCACATTACACCTACTTTCTACTTCATTGGATAAAATCTATCTCCTCAAGAAACTTTAAAAGTTTCTCTCCTCTCCTCAAGGGCTTTAAAATATTTAAGAATAAACTGGACCGACAGAGTTAAAAAGGAGGAGGTTCTTAGAGCCTGAACCAAACAAAAGAATTTATGAATATAATAAAGAGTCGCAAGCTGGAATACTTCGGTTACATTATAAGACACCCTAAAAACAATAAATTTTTGCTTCTGATCATTCACGGAAAGATCCAAGGTAAACGTGGTCTTGGTAGAAAAATAACATTATGGCTGTAAAAGCTAAGACAATGATAAGGAAAATTAACTACTTTATTAGTTAGAGCTACTGTCAATAAAGTTGCGATAGCGAATATGGTAGCCAACATGATATGATCGATAACGGTCATGAAACTATAAGAAGAAGAAGAAGGCTCACTGGACTCATTCAAAACTTTTTTAAACTAGTAGAACCTATCATGAAATCTTCTAGACATTTTTGTAACTTTTTACTTTGTCTTAAAGTTTTCCGGATTTAAAGTGAATATAACAGGCTGGTTTGAATTTTTAGAGGTATCTTGAAAGATATTAGAAATGTTTCAAGCTTTCTTAAAGTTTTTCGGAGCAATATAAACTCCTTCTTTTCGGTGTTTGTTTCATTTCTGGAACAAATGATTCAATTTGATTTACAAGATCTCTTGTACATTTTTTTGACACTTTTTTCAATATCTAAAATATTTTTATCTCTTATTAGTACTTTAATATTTAATCCATCTGCATTATTTTTTATTTTTACTTCATTGTCCTTAGTTTTATGTTGCTTTGATGTAGAATTTCTGCCTTATAATCGCGAATCTCATCAGTGTGGTTTTTTATGATGTATAAAATATTATGCAACTTATTGCTATCTAACTCATAACTAATACGTAAGAAATACGTATTAGTATTGATTCTGCTAACACGTCGATCAATTATTTCCAATTTAGAACTAGCCGCAATGATAAAATCAATTAAAAAATTCTTTTGAATAGCTTTGATCGATCCAAGGTTGAAGTTTTATTGTTTTAACATTAGGTTAGTCAATTTGTAGACGATGTACTGGTGTTTGGAATGTAATAATGATATGTTTGGAGAAAAACCGATAATAAATTTTTATTTGGATAACTTAATTGAAAGTGTGTTGTCGATAGCGAGAAATGTATTGTAAATATAACTTATTTGTGGTAATAAAATAATAAAAAAAAATAGGAGAGTGTATTAATTTAACAGAATAGTTCTATAAAACGATTTATTAGATTGTTCCACATTAGGATTGTTCTGATAGAGATCGTCTTTCCCGCATTTCCACCAATTTCAGCTTATCATAAAGTCCTTCAGACTCCACTGAAACTATTCAGGCAATCCTAAAGACATCCCAAGCTTCCTTGAATATTCCAAGATGCCGTGAATTATTCCTTAAAAGCTAAAGTTGAAATCGATCAAGGTATCAATATAATGAGTGAAATGTTTTCGACAATAGAAGAGTATTATTTTAATATAGGTCTCAGCATCTCTACAAAGAAAACCCAAGCATGTATATTCTCCAAAAAACATAGATTACCACAATCCATAGTATTCAATAACGTTAATTTTGAGGTTCAATCATTCATTAACTATTTGGGTATGGTAATAGATAGGAAGTTATTGTGGAACGAACACATAGACCGCTTAATAACAAAAACAGAAAAAGGATTAAATGCAATAAGATCAGTGTGTCATACAAGTTGGGAAGCTGATCCAAATATTACGCTTACCTTTTATAAAGCTTATATTCGTTCAATAATAGATTATGGGTCAATTTTTTATAGTCAAGCAGCGAAGACTCACCTGAAGAAATTAGATAGGCTAGTAAATAAAGTTTTAAGAATAAGTATAGGCGCACTTAAGAGTACACCCATTTCAAATTTAAACGTAGAATGCAATGAACCTCCACTAAATTTCAGAAGAGATTACTTAACGGGGAAGTTTTTATTAAAAATGTATGCAAAGAAAAGTCCGGTAGTCCAAAAATGCTTCGAGCTCAGTATTTACGATTTAGTCAAGGAATATTGGCAAAAAAAGCCTACAATTCCTTTTATTGAATCGTACAAATACGTAAGGATACAACTTAGTAAGGACATGTCGACTTCAAGAGAATTACCCTGTTTTAAAATAGAATTAGAACACTTGGACAGCATAAAAGTAGGATATCTTAGAGACTACTCAGAATTCCCACAATATATCCGGAATAGCATGTTCCAAGCTGACATAAAGTCTATGTTCCCTAATTACTCATATATTTTTTCGGATGCATCTAAATCAGATTTAAAGGTTACATCTGCCTTTTACGATCCAGATCGAAAATTTAGTACAGTAGTAGATCTAAATATTAAAACCTAGATATATACCGCTGAACTAATAGCAATATTAGAAGCACTTAAATACATTAGTAATTTCTTAAGAACAAAATCTAATTACGTTATATTCTCTGATAGTAAAAGTTCAATACAAAAAATTGAAAATATTTCTAAATATACCAATATTGGATTTAATTATGTGTTATCTGAAATTATAAACCTGGTGGGTACAATGAAATTAAGAGGATCTAATGTAATGTTTTGTTGGATAAAAGCTCATTGTGGAATATTAAATAATGAAATAGTAGACAAAATTGCTAAATATAATGAACCATCTAAAGAATCAGAATATAAATGCGTAATTGAGGATCTAAATTCTCATCTAAGAAAAAAATGTTAAATTCATGGCAAACAATGTACAATTTGTCCAACAATGGATTATATTATAAAGATATAAAACCAAAAATACAGTCCTCAACGTGGTTCAAAAACTCAAATTTTAATAAAGATATGATTAGAATACTATGTAGAATAAGATTTAACCATGCTCTGTCTCCGTTACATAAGTTCAGAATTAATTTAGCTGAAACTCCATTTTGCGAATGTGGCGAAAAAGGCTCAATTGAGCATTTAGTTTTAAATTGTTCATTAAATACACGATGTATAAACCAATTTATAATAAAAATATACGAGTATATCAATAAGGAAAAAATTCTTATTAAAAGACCTTTTAATTTATCAGATTTAATAAAAACCAATAATTTGCATATTTATGAAATAATTTTTCGCCACGTACGTGAACTGAAATTGAATTTCTAAATGTATTATTGTAACAGTGTATATATTTCAAACATAAAAAGTTAGTTATATAAGTCCTTTGTTTTAACCCAGTTGTTAACCTTTCTATCCGTGGTCTAATTTTGTGTTGTGCAAATCGCCTTGATAGACCCCTAGGCGTATGTAATAAATCAGCAAACCCATATATTTTCCTTTTCCTTCCAGTAAAAAAAAAAACTAAAAAAAAAATAAAAAAAAAGAAATAATAAAAAAAATAATAAAAAGAAAATAAAAAAAAATAAAAAAAAAAATAAAAAAAAAATAAAGAAAAATAAAATAAAAAAATAATAAAAAAAAATATGAAAAAAAAAAATTAATGTAGGTATGTACTTATATGTAAGTCAATAGAAGTTAAGATTTTATTGTTACGGGTTCTCTCTATAACAATTGTTTAAAAATTAATTAATAACTCAAAACATAATAGGCTAATGGACTATGTCTCTAGTCATAAAATAAAACTACACACACACACATTCCTTAAAAGGTTTTAGAAGAATTTTGACCGTTTCTGAAATCGTATAGCAGTCGTCCAAATATTAAAAGCAACCTTGAAATATTTCATGCTTTGTTTGAGACTTAAACAACGCTCTAAACTCCAACAGTCCATCCTGAAATCATCCAGAGATTTTTGTACTATCTTATTCTATTTTGAATTACACCAGATCCTCTTTTTCTTCAAGTGTCATCTTCGTTCCGAAGGTTGGCGATCATGAGGGCTATACGTATTTTCGAAACTGCTGACCCAAACAATTCGTTGTTGCTACAGCTATACCATTACCGTAGATTCTTTAGCCAGGAGTTTCGTCTTCTTATTATGGACCTTTTTCCTTCTATTTTCCCTTGCATAATTATTCGAAGCAGTTCATATCTTTCGTTTCTTGTAATGTGTTCCAAGTATTGCAGTTTTCGTTTTGTGATCGTAAATATAACTTTCTTTTCTTTATTCATTCTTCTCAAGACCTCGATACTTGTGACTCTCTCGGTCCATAATATTCTCAGGATTCTGCGATACATCCACAGTTCAAATGCCTCTAATTTTTTTATATCAATATTTTTCAACGTCCATGACTCCATTCCGTAGAACAGCACAGAAAGTACGTAACATCTCATCAGGCGAAGTTTCATTTCAAGGCTCAAATCTCTTCCGCAGAACACTCTCTTCATTTTAGTGAATATGGATCTGGCTTTTTCTATTCTTATTTTGATTTCTGCTGAGCTATCGTTGTCTTCATTTATAAAAGTGCCTAAATATTTGTATTGGCTAACTCGATCGATAATTTCATTGTGTAAATATAAATTTTGGACATTTTGTGTTGATTTTGATCCTCTTAAATTCCTTTTTTTTTAAATTAAGATCCTCTTTAAATGTATCAGTAGGGTTCTGAAATATTTTGGAGTCTCTGAAGTCCTCTCTTATAAAATCATCTAGATAATTCTGAAAAACTCCAATCTGTCTTCAAGTTATTTAGAGCTTCTTTGAATATTACAATATGACCTGAATTATTTGAGGTTCTCTGAAAGATTCTAGAATAATTTTAACGCATTTATAGTTATCTTAAAAACTTATACGAGTAGAAGCCATTGCAAGGTTACCAGACAACTTGAAAATATTTCAGACTTTGGTCAAGTCTTTCAGAATGCTATATGCTATATATAAGTCCAACAGTCGATTCTGAAATCTTCCAGAGATGTTTGTACTATTTCATTCTATTCTTAATTACTTCAGAGCCTCTTGTAACGAACTTGTTAATTTTGAAGCGTTTTTAGGTATTTTAAAATCCCATATAAGACCATTGCAAGGTTACTAGATAACCTGGAAATCATTCAGCCTTTGCTGAAGCTGTTCAGGGTTTTCTAAACTTTAATAGTCTATACTAAAGTCATCCAGAAATACTTGAAGCATTTTTTGCTATAAATTGCTCCAGAGTCTGTTAAAACATTCCAGACATGTTCAGTAAACTGACATATTTAACAGTAGTTTCTGAAATTTTTTAAATCCCCTCCAAACTACTATAATATTAAATCTCTCTAGGAGACTTATTCCATATTTATGTCTAGTCTGAAGTCTTATAGAAGCAATGGAAATATTCATAAATAGCCTTGAAACACTTAAGACCTTTTTAAATTTCAGCATGGTCTTGACATATTTAAGAAGTCCTTTAAAATTATTTAAAACTATTATAGCCTCTCATGAAATTATCCAGACAACTTTAAAACTTTTTAGGCTGCTCTAGGGTTTCTTGAATATTTCAGACTGCCTTGAATTGTTCAAGGTTTCCTTGAAAACTACTATAAAAATTCTTCAATTCTTTCGAATTTTTAAGCTTCTTCTTAAGGTGTCTTTTCCATTACTGAAGATTGGCTATAACTACAGCAAATTACTCTCTATTTTGAGCTGTTCTTAGTATCGAATGTGTATCCATACCTGTCCAGTCTCTTACATTCTTCAACCAGCAGCATTTTCTTCTTCCTGGACCTCTTCTTCCTTCCACTCTCCCTTTCATTATAAGTCTTTTTAAGCTTACTTAAAAACTTTTAGAGCTACGTATGAGCGACCTTAAAATCACCCACAGACCTATAGAATACGTCATATTTCCTAAAATACGTTCAGAGCTTTTTTGAACATTCCCGGCTAGTTTGAATACTTGTTATAAATATCTTTGAACTACTTTAGGCTTTGCTGAAGGCTTTCAGAATACCCTAATCTCAAACAGTTTGTTTTTTTGAAATCTTCCGTAGAATTCTGTAACATAGTATGCTGTCATGAATTCTTTAATTGTCGTTTAAAACGATTCAAGACAGTTCAGATATAATTTATAGTTTCTGAAGTCTTCCAAAACTCTTTAAACTACCAACCTCCCATAAAACCTTCCAAGCATCTCTGGAACATTTAAGACTGTCACATAGTTTTCCAGAGTTTCCAACATTTAAGGCTGAAAAGAACCTACAGGAATTGTTAAACGTTTATGAAAAGAAACTACAGGAATTCTTTAAAACGTTTTTATAATATTTCAGGCTTTCCCGTAATCTTAATTAGCCTCGTAAACTCTGACAATATATCCTGACATCATCAAGAGACTTTTAAAGATAACATTTTAGGTTATATTTAATGCATCAAGAGTGGCTTAAAATATTCCAATGACAATACTATTCTCTAGAATAAAATAAAAGGAAAATTCCAGTGGCTTGGATAGCTCGAAGTTCTAATTGAGTAGTTAAAAAAAAACTTACAAAGGAGTAAATACTTCTGATGCATAATGGTGTATTTTATTATTAAAATTTTTAAAATTTATACAAAAGGATTGCTAATATCTTCAAAAGTTTTCGGTCTCGTAGGACCATTATCAGTGAAACATCTTGAGAATAGTTGAAACTAGCTACCAATCTAGGTGTAAAAATCTCCAGACTACATGGAAATCATATAATATTATAAAATTGTGATTAGTGGTTCGCACTACATGAAAATTATATTATATTATAACCGTTGGAAGAAGAACAACTTCGTCCAACCACCCAACAACACTAGAACACTTTGAAACATTAAATGTAGACACCGAACGATTACAAGTTTCTTTGGTTTCTTTGATGTCTTTAAACTAAGACACACTGTACTACTTTCCATATGATGTTAATATAGTTCGTTCGTTTATCTTGGAAATATTTTGACAGATTTATTGTCGGAACATACAAAACAAAAAATTCTACATCTCGCTATTAATGGGCCAAAATAAATTTGCTGTTGCAGACTTTTTCATTTAAAATATAGAATAACCATATTAATAATAGGAGTATAATTTATTAATTTTTTATCAAAAACATTCCATTTATAAATACTAATCTATAAACGACTATAAAACTTTAAAAATAAACTTTTGTTTTAATTAATTCAACTTTATTTTGTAAGTTTCTAATATTACCTTGGGTATGTTTCAAATCTTCCTATTATATATATCGACAGCAGGTTCCATTACATAGCTTTCCATTCACAGTTAATTAAAAATTATTCGTATAATATGTTTTATACGTTTGCGGAGATAAAAAACAATTTTTTAAAGTTAAAACTTATTTTGTGAAGTTATTCTCATACTTAAGATCTATATTCAATGAGTAATATTGGTTGCCTATCAGTTGGCGTATAAATGCCCGAATATCAGTATGTATTATAACAGTATAAGATAAGCTATCAGCAATAATATAAGTTTCTTCGAAATATATTTATTATAGGATAAGTATGTATTTTTAAGTTATAGTGTAAGGTTCTTAAACACAAATTGTTATTTAGAGTGAACAGAAAACTTTTTAGTACCTTAAATGACTTATTTGTGTCTATTTTTGTATTTATTTACTCTATTTGTCTTTTTTTTTAAATTTTCTATATATCTATAAGTAGGTGGAAAGATTGGTGGTTAAAATAAAACGATACAAATAAATATGTATTGGATTTAAATAGTCTTATGCTGTTTACCTAATAAAAATAATCATCTAAAGCCGGTAATTTATTGTCGTTACATAAACTTGGTTTACTCTTATTTTTTATCTTAGAGCAAACAACAGCGACGAAATCTCGTAAAGCTTGAGACTGATCCACTTGTTTGAACTGATCATCAAAGACAATTGTGGGAACGAAAGAAATATTGGGATCCAGCTGAAACGTTCGGTCTCCATGGATAGCTGAAAGTCTGTCTCCTTCTATGGTGTCAGAACAAGATTTCAGCTTTGGAATATCTAGTCCAAATCTCCTAGCACACTAAAATTAAAAGTTGTGGTACGTTAATAATAATGTTAATAGGTCTTCTATTGGTGAAAAAATATAGTTAAAAAAGATTAAATTAAAGAATGAGAAAGAAAAGTATTTTTAAAGTGTGTAAACATTAATTTCCTAGAAGATGACTTTGTATTCAGCAAACAAAATCATCTTCAGAGCTATACTGCAATAGAACAATGATATAAATAAATAATTTTAATTTTACAATATTTCACTTACGTCAAGTACTTAACAGTATCACTGCTAGGAGAAATCTCATTTGGTAAAAACCATACAGAAATTTTCTTTTTTAGCTAGTTCTATGTTAAAATGTTTTATTAAAAAAAATACAAAAAGACTGTAAACTTGAAACAAAAAAAAAAAAAAAATTTTGGTCATGGTACGGGTGACAAAGTAAAGATTACAATTTGGAAAACTGTTCAAGACTTATTTAAATATTTTATTTTTATTATTCAGAATATGACCTTATTTAGTTTTAAATCTTTTATTTAATTATAAAATATTAGCTGAGCATAATATGGCTTTAGTTCCGCATCTTTTAAATTCTCCCTCTCAAATTGGCTGATTCATTATTGTCAAGTTCTGAGAATTCACTTGTCCGAAAACAACGTGTTTTTGGAAAACTATTCATCAACACAAAACACTTCAGATTCCTTAAGGAAACATACCTGTCCTTTGTGCAGAAGGATTAAAATGACATTTTAAGCTTAATTTACTGCTATGCACGGATGTCCTAAGAACAAAGGAACCACCCCAGTTGATTTTTCTAGATGCGTGTTTCTTCCGTATGTGCGGCACTCTACACCAACTCGTCATCGCGAACGAATCTCAAGACCAGCCAAGATCCGTACCATCGTCAACTGTGCGTCCAGCATACCCTTTACAAAAGGTCACTTACTTTCTCTCGTATAGAATTGATAATAATACATATTGATACAATAAATACATCTGCCAATTGTTATTTGAATTACAATCTGACGGATTCTGTCTCCGGCTTCTATATAACATGTAGCTTCTCCATATTTAAAAATTTTTAAAGTGTTTGTTTGTCTTTGTGTATTGTATTGTTATGTCCAAATTTACATGTATGACATTCTGCTCATGTCGGATAGGCTACAACTGACAAAATGCCCCTGAGGATGATCTATTGATCAAAAGTACTTGGACAAGATTTAATTAATTACTGTGTTCGATATTTGCCTTGTATACCATCAAAGTTTAAATATTAATTAGCGACCTCATTAAGTTTTACTCAAAACAACTATGATCTATTTCTTTAAACACCATTTCAATCATCAATAACTTTTTTCTCTCAAAAACCATTGACCCCAATAAATGTTCACAAATTACCTCTCTACTCCAATTACTTTTCCCAAGACTTCTTTGCCTTTAACGAGAAAAATTATATACAACCAGAAGGTTTAGCAATGGGAAATCCACTAGTCTGCCCTATTTGGTCAGATAAATATTAACACAGTTCAAAAATACTTTTCTTTTCTTCTACTTCTTTTCCGTTCTTTGATTTGTCATATACGTGTACAAAAACATATCAGTCTTTTCATTTATTTAAAAAGATTAGTTTAATAAAAACATATCTATAACTCGTTTTTAAAATATATCACAGCATAGTTTTTATGACAAAATATTACAATGAACTGATTATATAGAACTAGTTAAAAATGAGTAAAAAGGTGGAAAGTAATTAGGGAGACACCTACCAATAGTCTATGGCTGGTGATTAGCAGAGATCTCAAGCAGTATACAGCATCACAAATTAATTACAATATTAAAAGATAATGGAGTTGATAGTCAAGACATACGATTCATAGAAAAGTTATACTGGCGTCAAACAGCGACAGCTTGCATAAACGGAAAATCAACAGAAATATGTAAAATACAAAGAGGTGTCAGACAGGGTTGTATACTATCCCCACTGTTATTTAATTTATATTCAGATAGAATATTTAAAGAAGCGCTGCATAATTTGGAATGGGGCGTTAAAGTTAATGGAATTCTGATAAATACAATCAGATATCCAGACGATACAGTTATTTTAAGTGATGACATGAATGGACTACAATGCCTTTTAAATGCCATTGATACAGTGGGCAGAGAGTTTGGCCTAAACATAAACTGTTCAAAAACAAAACACATGGTGTTTAGCCGTTTAGCACATCAAGATGCACGATTATATGTTGATGGTCATATAATTCAAAGAGTGTCCAGTTTTAATTATCTTGGTTGCCATATTACTGAACAACTTGATCCAGATCAAGAGATAAAATGTAGAATCGAGATAGCCCACACGACATTTTTAAAGATGAGGTTATTCTTCTGATCTAATGATAACTTGCAACTTCAACTTCGAAAGCGCTTGGTTAAATGCTACATTTGGTCAGTCCTCTTATACGGTGTCGAAACATGGACATTAAAAATATCCACCATTTGGAGGCCTTTGAAATGTGGCTGCACAGACGTATACTAAAAATTCCATGGACGGCTATGCTGACAAATGTGGCAGTCCTTGAGAGAGCAAATGCTGCTCGCGAGCTGCTTGATAACATCAAATGTAGAAAGATGGCCTATTTTGGACACGTAGTAAGGGGAGACCGATATAATATAATTAAACTTATTATGATGGGTAAAATCGAAGGATGCAGAGGAATTGGTAGAAAGCAGGCCTTTTAGTTGAAGAATATCAGAGAGTGGACAGGAATAAGGAAGGCTGAGCAACTCTTTAGAATAGCTCGAGACAGAGACAGTTTCGCCATGTTAATCGCCAACGTCAAGGGGACTTGATAGGGCACGTTAAGAAGAAGTCGGCGTATTCCAAATACGAATAAAACAAAGATTGTTTGCTATATCATCGAGTATCTCCCAGAGACTTCAAATACTATATAGACACAACAGAAAATTGGAATATTTGAGCCCTATCACGAGGGGACAAAATACACATCTCTACAAATATAATGCAAAGATAAATAAAAAAAAATTGCGAGGAAAAAAAATCGAGAATATTGCACCGTAAGCGAATTTAGAATAACTCAAGTCTAGAAATAGAGTAAATACAACTGGCAACTGATTTGGACTCAAGATCAATAGAAAGAAAACTAAATTTATGGTGATCAGTAAAAAGAACATTCAACATATCGACCTGAATATTAAAGCCGAACTTATTGAAAGAGTACACCGATTTAAATATCTGGTATATACAGTAAATAATTAGTGGTACCCAGACGTAGAGATTAAGATCCGAATTGAAATAGCAAGATCCAAATTCATCAAAATGAGAAAGCTCTTAAGCAACCGCAACCTAAGCGTTAACCTCCGATGGCGCGCCACGAAATGCTACGTACCCTCTACGCTACTTTACAGAGTAGAAGGATGGACCACACAGAGGTATTAAGACGAATAAGTAAAGAGGTGAAATTGTTAACAACTGTTAAAAGGAGGAAAGCGTCATACCTGGAACATGTGTTCAGTAATGATAAGTACAGTCTGCTACAGCTTATCGTGGAAGGCAAGATTGAAGGTAGAAGAGGTTTGGGCAGAAAGAAGAAATCCTGGCTGAGAAACTTGAGAGAATGGTTTCAAATACAAGAAGCTGCGAACATAATGCATGCGGCATAAAACAGAAAAACCTATCGTTTGATGGTCGCCAACCTTAGGTAGAAGACGGCCCATGAAGAAGAAGAAAAAGTGTAGGAACAGAAATGACACGAAAAGTTATTTAAAAAAAATAAATACAATATTGGAATTTCCATTAATTTCAAATATCACGACGTATATGATCATGCCGGCATCCACCTTGATATACTCTATAAATAACAAATTATCAATATAAATTTATCTTTATAGTTTTTTTTGTAGTGATTCCAAAGATATATGCGTACAGAACTGTAAAATAATAAAGGTTTTGGTTATTGAAACTCTAGATACTTACCTCTTCAACATTATCGAAAGAAGAAGGATCTCTACTTTTCATTATACAATACACCAAAGGCACTTCTACATCTTTCCCTTTCTTTTGCGATAGTGCACAAGCCTGGTACTTGTTTCCTTGACATTCTCTACGACCATGTTGGCAATCGAATGCGTAACGCTCAGGTGCTTGCTTTACAATATCAGCATCATGGTGTACGTACTACAAATATAATAATATACAGTATTTACAGATGTTGAAACGAAATTTGATAGCGCACATATTAGATAGCAAAAATCAACTTACAAAATATTAGAATTATTCAAACAGTAATTTTTGTCATGTGAGATAAAAAATAACTATTATAATAATATAGTCTATTCAACTTACTATGGCTTTGCCGAAGGGTACAAATTCCAGCTCGTCGACATAGTCTTTAATTTGGTCCCATTTGGGGTAAAGTTGGCGACCAATAAATCTAACACTGTCTGGACACAATGCTTCGTAGTAGACTGTTATTTTTAGCCCATTCTATATCAGAAAAAAATGTATGTTTATTAACGGTTATTATGCAGTAATGTTATTAATAACTAAAGAAAGAGGGATGCCTAATCTGCTGCAAGTGTTATGCGGAAGACTCAATCATAGTATTCTGCTACATACTTACAAAACCTTCATCAGAACCTTAGTCGAATATAGAGCGAGATTTTATCCTAAACTCATATGTAAGTAAAACTCAATGAAAGAACATAATGGGAACATATAGGCACATCCTATAAATAAAGTATTATTTATACTCGTATATAAATATAAATACTCGTATCCTGAAGGATACCTCTTAAGAATTATTGAAATCACAAACAACAATGATATTCTTAAGACCAATTTACTCATTAGACTTACCAAGAGTTAAATTCGTGCAAAGTTAAGCTATAAAATTTAGTAGGTAACGAATTTGCTGATTAGTACTTAAACACTCTAGGAACAATTTCTTAAAATTTCAAAGCAATAGCCAGCAAAAGCCAACTACGATGATCAAATAGCCGTTTCTAAGAATTTTTAATAGAAAATGATTTAAATAAGTATACAAAATGATCCTTGTAAAGATTGAGCGAATTTTAATGCCGGAACAACAAATGTCAAGTTCTACGGAACGAAGGAGAAGATGAACAAGTAAATATAGGGGAAGTATATTAATATCGTTAATACAAAAGAATCTACAAAAAACCTTTTGTTATGAGAGCTACAAGTAAAGAAACCGGACTGTGTAACCTACGACGAACTTGCAAACGAAATAAGCATAATGATTTAACAATTTGCACGTAGAATGTAAAAAGCCTTTATCAGCCTGGCTTTGGAAGAAAACGAGGATGATGAAAAAGTCATGTTCTATGAGGCACTAGACCGAGAGTACAATGAATGCCCAAAAAAATGACATCAAAATAATGGCAGGAGATTTTAATGCCAAAGTCGGAAGAGAGAATATATTTTCGCCCACCATTAAAAAAAGAGATTGGGAGGAGAACAAAATCGACATTAATAAACTAAAAGATCCCGACATTGCAAATGTATACAGACAGCAAATAGAAGATCAAATAAGGACAAAAAACTTAGAAGAAGAAGACATTAACCAACTATGGGCAATCATTGGCCACCTACAAAAAAAAAAATCAACAAAAAACACAAAAACCGGCTTCGGCCACCAACAAAATTAACAAAACCCCAAAACCAGGGCACGTAGGGCCCAACCCCTTGAGCACCAAGTCGCCGAACTGAGCGACTCTGAGGACTCAGAGCGGAGACTTGAGGCCCAAGTAAGCAATTTTAGTTCGCGGATAAGCCACCTTAAGATAACAGGAATATAGCGGAGATGCGCTGTCTTGAGTTTTTACATTCGGAGGAAGCCATGTTGGGGTTCTATTACATGGCACATGAAGAGCATTTGGCTGATTGTTGTGCCTCTATAGCGCATCAGAGTACTATAGGGGGGAAAGGAATGGTCTAGAGCATTGGAGCACGTTGGGGTGACTCCTGTTCATACTCGTTGTTATTGTATATAATTATTACACCCGATCGTAATTCTTAGGGGTAAACATTTCTCATAGGCTGGGTTAAATCAACTTGCTTGCTGCATGGGCACAACATTTCAGCGAACATCTAAATAGAAACGATATTCAAGGAGATTACAACATAGAAAATCAACAAAATCTACAACGTCAACTATAAATATTGGATATATATTTATCTGGATTATTAGCATATTTATTCATGAAAGAATTTAAAACAAATATTGTTGATTTTAAATATTTATTTAATAAATATTTATTAAATTTAAAACCAACGATATATTGGAAGGATGTAGATAATGTCCTCATGGATGAGAATCCTTGACAAATTCTTGATAGATATCAATTATAAACGAAAATCGATCAAATTTACCATGGAACATACTTTTTTGGAAAAAAAAATCTTAACAACTATTCTTGTAAAAATGGTTATCAACAACTAGACGAAGCGTTAAAGATGCCTAAGAATTACGACATTATTATCTTATTCGGAAATTTTAACACGAAAATTGGGGAAAAAGCCAGAGATCACGCAGTTGGAAAATATGGTCCCGGTCAAAGAAACGACAGAGGGGATAGATTGATACAGTACTGCCAAGAAAAAATCTAGTCGTGACGAATACTTGGTACTGACCCCCCGGAAGGCTTTACACATGTAGGTCGCCTTTTGATGGACATCATTGCATTATAAGGAATCAAATAAATTACATGAAAATTAATACAATCAATAGAAAATACAGCAATGCTATTATTAAGGTTTCTGCATTAGCTGGAGCAGATATAGGATCCGAACATAATCTATTAGTTGCAAAAATTCGACCAACTTCCGTATCAGCCAAAACGAAAGAACCAGGAGGCATCCTAAAACATGAGAAAACTCAAAGCAATGATACAAGAGAAGTATATATAGAAGAAATAAACAATAGGTTCTCTAATATGGTAAATGTGGATGATGCTGAAAAGCCATGAGCTGCTACAAACGAATAATTTAATGATGTGAACAATACTTTTCTTCTAAAAAAAAAACAACTACCAAGGATGAAAGAAGAAATATTAGATACAGTGAAATAAACGCAAGCACTGTAAGATCACGCAATACGAAGTAGGGTACCAAAACATACAATGCAAACTGTGTAATGATTAGCGGCGAAGAAGTTTTGGATAATTATACTTTTCACCGAAACTGAAAATCTATGTAAACTACACGGCAGCTTCAACATTCACCAGAAAATTGTGGAAATTGCTGAAATCTTCAACAAAAGAGAAGTTACTGGTATACATAATGCTCAAAGTGAACTAACAATGGAACCTGGCGCTGAACATGATTCAATGTATAGCTCAAATATTTTGAAAGTAGAGGTTTGTAAAAAGTAACAAAGCCCTAGAACCAGATAATATGTATGGAGAAACATTTAAGTTATTTAATGAGGAAAATCTAGACATTATTGTGAAGTTCTATAATGGGCTACGATACGGGCCAGATTCCAAAAAATTGTGAAAGTGCAAAATTCTGCTAGAACCATCATCATCCTAATGAAACTTAGGAACCACCCTTTAAAGAATATTACAGACAAGATTATTAAAAAAATGTAAAAAGGTTAGTGGCTGGAGTCAGTTTGATTTCAAAAATGGACTTAAAACAAGAGAGGCGATCTTTAGTGATGATGTTTTCTCTGTTTTATCGATTATGAAAAAGCATTCTCATAATCATCGCAAGTGGAAACATCAAGGAATGATATTTACCAAAACCCTTGCGAATGTGACAATTTTTACTTGAATAAAACTTAAAGACCAGTGAATGAGAGGATAAATCAGCACGAATTAGCAATTTTATTTTCAAACAAGCATATGAATGTAGAAACATATGTTAAACTAAAATTTTTTAGGAAAAAGAGAACAAGAGAGACAAGATAGAAAAATTAAGTACAAGTTGATATAAATACATTAAATGTCAACTGGAAGGCAAAACAAAAGATACAATATCTTTATCTTCAAGTTTTGGGAAGACACAATAAACAAAATAATATGTTATTGATTTTACTCTGCTTCTAGAGTAGTCAAAAATAGAGAAGAAAGAAAATCTACGATAAAAACACATGTATTTGGAAAAATTATACTTTTATAAATACAATTTTTTGTCTATAACACTTTACTATACTTAAAAACTATTTATTATTTAAAATAAAACAATGTACTTACCGAATTTGCACTAAAACAAACAAGAATAGCCGCCACTATCAAAACATTTCGTAGATAAGAATTTTGATACATGTTGAGGAAATGACCCGTGACAAACTAACCAGATACTAACTTAGATATTTGAGAGTCAGTGATCTCGTCAAAAACTAAGTAAATATCTTTATACCAACTACCGTTGTGTTAATGTATATTTGATACAACTGGCTTATGTATATATACTGAATATTAATCAGCGGCGTCAGATGCAAAATTTTTTTTATACTCATGGTTTGTTTGTGGATGCTGGGAATTTTGTGACTTCTAACTTGTTTGTTATTGTTTTTAATCGGGACGAGGTCAGATTAAATATTTTTTTGGTAATTGCTATGGGTTTTTGACCGAGACAACTTTTTTCTTTGTAGAATACATACATTAGCTTCATTAGCTGTGGTGTTAGTAAGAAAAACTAAAAGAAATATTTTCATTAAGTAGTTGGAGACAGAAACTTTAGAGAAAATAGTTTAAGTTTAGTATAAAGAATAATTATTTGAATGAAACTAAAAGGCAAATTATCAACATCGATATAACAACAGCAATTATGTGCTGCTGGTACATAATTATTATTACATATTACATATTATATCTAACATAATAGTGTTTTCAATACAAAGAATCACGTCAAATACAAAGAAGTGTCAAGTTAATGGAAGGAATAGGAGGAAAAAGGTAAAAAACCATGATAAGAAAGAATTACGTAAGACTTTTGTGAGAATAATTTCGGTATAATTCATGCTAGAAACATCATCATCATCCTCATTGGCTCCACAACCCATGGTGGGCTTGGCCTGCTCAAGGATGTCTCCATTTTCTCCTATTCTTCTCCTTGGCTTTCCAGTTTCGTATTCCCAACATTCTCAAGTCTTATTATGATAGTCAAGACAAACTGATAGATTATGAAAGGTTATTTAAAGAATTAAGGAAGGATTGACTGTTATAGAATATGGCAATAAAGGAGTCAGTCCAAAAAAGAAAATCTAAATACCTAGTGATCTTAAACTAATGAGTTGAAATATCAACGGATTAATGCAAAGATAACAAGAATTGATATATAGCAACAAAGGGTAAATAATTGATAAAAGTGATAAATGAGAATAAGTGTGAAGGAATCTTAACAGGAAAACCTACGTATTGGCCTACAGGCCCTATGAAAATTCCTGATTGAATAGACTTTTACATCATTAAAAACGTATCGAGCAACTATATACAGATAGAAGCCACTTGGTTAATACTCGCATTATTAACTATTAGTGAAAATGTTATTCAAAAGTTTTACAACCCTATGTTAGTCAACAATAAATTGGACTGGGACAGCTCTAGAATTACAGTAGAAGAAACAATTGATTTGACAATGTCATTGAAAACTAAAGCAGACTTTGATGCTGAGGTAAAAAAATTCAATACAGATATTCAAAAAGCGGCCTGGGAAAATACTCCTGAAATACTAAGAAGAATGAAAGGAAACAACTGCCTTAAGAAAATCTTGGAATTAGTCTATAAAAAAACAAGAGCAAGATAAAAATGGTAACTAACTAGAGCACTACACAAGACAGAACATAAGTAAACCAACATGCCTTAGAACTAAAGACAGAGGTTAGGCAACTTAAGATTAAATCCATTAGCGAATTCCTGATACATTTGACAAATCTATGGAAATCCACCAAGAACTTAAAGATTTCAATTATGCAAATGTCTCTTATAAAATAAACAAGGAGGTTAGGCGAAAAACAACGAACAAAAAGCATTAGTATTTGCAAACTATCTCGAAAGTGTTTTCCAACCATATTATAGTAGACATAGATGCATCTCACCCAGAAGTTGTTCTACAACATGTTTCATTTCCAGAACGTTGTATTTGTGTTTTACTTTAGATTGTTGCTGCATCACTTCAATTTATTATTATTATTTACATATCCGTGGAAAAATATGATTGATACAACACTGTTTTGGTACATTAAGGAGATTCAACTTTCACAATCGCACGTGACTAGTGCATATGTCGACAATAATATATGTATGTTTTTACCGAATAATCAGTTTATATATTTTTATATCTGATACGTCAAAACCGATAAAGTTTAATTATTAATTATTTAATAATGGTATAACTACACTCGAAAATAATTAAACTGTAAACTTTTAATAATTGTTTTATACGACTTTTTTAATTTTTGTGTACATTGGAAAATACCATAGGCAGTAGGTATTCCAGAAATAATACACTGGCTGACATAAATACTGAATAATTATCACAATACGCAATTAGACCTTTGTATAGTACCGAAAAATGTGGTATTATCTAACCCAGTTTTTCCCAAACTCACCTAGATCATGGAATCCTTTTGACAAATAAATAGTTGACTTTTGGCAACTCCTTACCTTATCATACTCAGTTTATTCGACATTTAATTCAATTCCAAATAAAGGAGAGGATCCAATACACCGTCTAAGATTTGGTACAGATGTTTAAAGCTAGAATCGGACTGCTCGACAAGACCATCGAGCTTATCAACGTCTATCCACGTATCCACATCAAGAAAAAGAAGTACGGTCTTTTCACAATCAACAAGCGATTTGTTCATCATAAATCACTACAAATGAAAAACAATTTCTAGCAAGCTATAGAGTTGCTGAAGATTTGGTTTTCCCTGAAACTGTGGAGATGGTGGAAATAATAGTAGTTGAAAAAGAGGGTACAAATATAAAAACCGTACTTCAGCTCTTTAACACGTTGGGAACTGCTGATCTAGACTGTTAACTAGACAATACCATTGTCTCTTTTTTTTGTGAAAAATTCGTGAAAAAATTCTGATCTCACATTTTTTCTTATGAAACAGTTTGCTGTCTCTTTATAAAGGCTTTATATGTTTTTTACGTCTAAGTTTAAGTGGTTAATAATTATAAAAGATAAACATTCCCAAATTTTAGCTTTGGTTATTCTGTTCATGTTCTGTGCTGTTTTTGACATGTTCTCCATGTCAAACTATTACTTGGAGCAACTCTAATATCTCAACGCTTCATTCAATTATAACCGCTGATTTGCTTATAATCAAGGCTTGGTCAGACTCCAACTTACTTAGCTTTAACGTGGATAAGACAGTAGCATTATCTTATAAAGGAGTTATTCAACCATTGATTTTGAATGAGAGCCAAATCAGTATCGTTAATTTCGTAAAATTTCTAAGTATTCTTATCGACAGTGATCTTAAATGGTCCTTGCATATTGACTCCTTAAGGAAGATAAGATCTGTTTCGAAGGAACTAAATTTATCTTCTGTCAAAATGGCATATTTCTCATTGTTCGAGTCCCATCTTCGATATGGGCTTTCATTTTGGGGTTCTAGTACAGCGGCCCGATTTGATACTATTTTTAAGTTGTAAAAAAGAGCAATTTGTTATCTATTTGGTCTCAAACAAATAACTCATTGCAAGACCTACTTCAAAAATCACGAACTTTGACGCTTCCCTCTTTATTTATTTTGGAAACGGTTTGTTTGATTCGCAAGCATCTAAACATTTTTCCCGATAGACCTGATCCTGGCTACTCCATTAGAAATTCGGATTGTAACGTTTATTTACCGATCCCATTCACTGAGCTAGTAAAGAATTCTATTCTATATAGTGCAAAAAAACTATATAATCACCTTTCAAGAGAAATTAAATCAGCAACATCTTTTATTAAGTTTCGTAAGATGACAAAAATTTATCTGTCTGAAAGACCATCTTATTCAGTTGACGAGTTTCTTAGTGTATAACAAAGAAACAAAATTAGTATTGTTTATAATTAAATGTGGGCGTCTCAAACAGTGGCTACAATTTGTTTCATTTGTTGTTGTCTGTACAAATTATGTAAGTTATAAAATAATTTTACTAATTTAAAATTGTATTGTTCTGTTTTTTTTATTATATTTGTATTTGTTATATACCTTTTGTACTATTTGACTGATTTTTTTAGCTTTTTCCATAAAATTGTTCAATAATTTTCAGTGACAATAAAGCATATTTCTATTCTATTCTGTTCTAAAAAATCCCAGTTATTCACCTCTGTTTTGTACTCTGGCTATAATTTCAATTATAGCAAATATATGATCCATGGAAATTCTTCTCTTTCGAAAGCTGATCTATGACTGTGTTAGTTCTGGTTCAACGACAATAATTCTTAATCTGCTTTCTGGCTCATTTCTTTTTTTAATTTCCACATTTTTCTTTTAATATTACATTTTTGGGTTTGAACTTCATAATTTTCTCTTTAAATTATTGTTGTTGTAATTTAGGTCGCTTTTGCTCAATTTCAGTTCTTTTACTCCATGTGTTAAGTTTATGAAGGTCTTGAATGTTTTATCAAACTGTTCCTAAGAATCTCTTATTTTATCGGATGATTTCACCATGCCTCTTTAGTTTCCTTTCATCTAAAATGTAGCATGTATCACCAACCACCTTTTTTAATTTGTCTAATTTCTTTTCTTATAAACGTTTTTAATGCCGAACTTGGTCACTTTTACGTTCTATCAATAAGACAAAAACCAGTTCAACACCTAGGAGAGTTTATATACATTGTTTATAAAAATTTAATTGTTTTTATAATTTCTACAACCTTACCCAATTTTATTACATGTCAATGGGTCGATCGTTTGAATTACTATACCTCTGCAATAAAACGTTTATTATATCACTAGAAACCAATCAAAATCGAGTTTAATTTCACATTAATCGAATAATAAAAATATATTTGTGAGAGTGAATATATTTTTGAGATGAAATATTTCGGAACCAAACTAAGCAAATGGGAGGATCTTGAAATTGTCAAAATGAATGTGAAGTTGCGGTTAAAAGATGAGAGTACAACATTCTTGCATTCAAGGAACACAATGGAGAAATGACGAAAGAAGTAGGTGAAGGGTAAGTAACAGTAGGAACGAAGTTGCTATACTTGCTGATACAGAAATAAGGAAAAATATAGTTGAAATTGTAAATACTAGTGGTAGAATAATTGCAGTGAAATTTATACATACTTCCACTAATTAGTGCGAAATTATTAACTTATAACTTATATTCTCTCATTTTAGTCCACTAAAATATAAGTTATATATAATATATATAATATAAGTTAAGATAGTTTAGATATGTGCAAGGTTGAAAATAATAATCATCCAATACGAAGATAAATTTTGAATATTATTGTTACATTTTAGACCAGTTGAAGGAAAAAATTTGTTAAACAAAACCCGTTTAGCAGAAGAAAAAAAATCCTGCTTCATCAGTACAATGCATCATGTCGTATTTTTGGAGCATTCACTGTATTCACCAGATTTGACCCCTAGCGTTTTTTATAAAGTAATGAGAACATAACAGCAGTGGATGCGTATTTTCTAAATTTTCCAAATTCTCACTTCAGGGATGCTGAAGATTTGCTGATTTATAAGTTAGTAGAATGCACAAAAGAGAAACACCAAATTGATAAAGATAACTGACAAATAAAGTAACTGATTAAAGTAATGCTCGTCAAAGAAAGTGTTTAGACATCACAAGAGGTCTAAGTATCGCTTACGAGATAATTCCACTGTATTCTAGAAGTACGGATAAAGTTCCAGAACTACTAAAGCTATTTATGTAGAGATAACAAATGAAATAGTTAGTCTAAACAATTTCTTAAGTAATATAGTGTATAGAGTTAAGTAATTGTGTTTTTAGTGTTAGTGACAGAAGACTTTAAGAAAATTAAAATAAACATCGCAGTAGTTAAACAAAAATCTCGAAATCAATAAAAACATTAAAAATTTTATTAAATAAAGTTATCATATAAATTATTTTTATGTATTTGTATTTTATGAATTATTTATAGATCTTGTTCTTCTACTCTACATCCTTCTGGCAGATCATTCATCAGTTGACACATTACTCCTTTAAAATTGAACAGAGCCCTTAGTTCTAACATCCGGTCGTATTCGCCGTTTATCAGAATTGTAGGGTATTTACTAATATTTTCCATTACGCCCTGTCTGTAATAGGAGTTTAATATTTTATCAGGTTGTGCTGACTTACTACATTTAGTAATGTCTTCCCAACTTAAATCAGCTTGTTTGGCACACTAAAAAGATCATATGTTAAAATTAATCAAAGGATAAAAACAATACAAGAAGAATAAATAATCTTTTAGATTCACTATAAATAATAAGAATTTTCCAACCAAAAGGAAAGAAAAGAATTAGGATTTCTCCCGATAGTTCTGGTTACTGAGCACTGGCTTAAAGTCGATCATATACAATAAGTTGATAAAGTTAATATATAGGAAAGAAATATGAATTTCTCTATTATATTACAAATTATGAATTTCTGTTGAATGTAGCCTTTTTTGAGTTTTCATTGGTTTATAACAAGAATCTTAATCTCTAGATTCTTTGCATTTATAGATCACTTGATTCTTCTACGAAACTTTTTTTCAAAACCTGTTAAATTTTTTAGACGACCTGTTGCTTGTGTTACCCAATTATCCTTAGTCTGGTCAATATATTCGAATTGTATGATTTCACATCCGACTGTAATTTACTCCCTTTTAACGTGGATAATACAGAACAGCCAGACCAATATCGTTGATTCTGTAAAATTTCTTGGTATTTTTATAGACAGCAACCTTAAATGGTCCCTTTATATCGATTTGTTAAGTAAGAAACTAGCCTGAGCCTAGTATCTATAGCATCTATATATTGCCTGTAGCATTTTCCAAAATAACATATTTTTCTTTGTTCGAGTCTCACCTTCCTTCGATATGGCCTTCCTTTTTGGGGTTCTAAGACAGCTGCCCAATCTGTTACTTTTAAATTACAAAAAAGAGCACTACTGGTCTTTTGGCCGCAGTAGAATAACACATTGTAAAAGCTACTTCAAAAATCACGGGATTTCAACTCTTTCTTCCTTATTTATTTTAGAAACTATTTGCTTAATTCATAAAAACCTACACGTTTTTCCAGCAAGACCTAATCATGACTACTCCACCAGAAAATCAAACTTTAACTCTCAAATTTGATTTGTATGTTTTATGTGACAATATAAAAGGGATTTATGTTAGTACAGTCTAATCAATTTGATTTAAATTATTCCGAAATCTTTGTTTGTTTTATTGTTACTTCACATTTTGCAACGGTTGAATTTCTTAATCGACGTAAAATCATTAAATCTACCTTATTTACTTCTTCTTGTCGAGAATACCACTTGATGAATTGTTGTATGTGCGATGCAACTCATCTAGCTTCTTTACGCAAATCTTTATGAGTTGCAATAGCATCATCAACATCGCCATCATCAAAGTCAGCTTCTGAATCAGTTTCGTCCGCCTCTGTTGCTATTTCAACGATTTCATCGTCTATCAACAATTGATAGCCGTTTGCGTCCTCATCAGAAATTAACCATTCGTTTATGTCATCTTTAGGCAACGAAAACAAAACAGTTGATTCAGCCATAACTTCAGTTAAGGGGAGCATTTTCATCTTAAGTTGATTCAATCCATAATTTATTCCAGGCTCTTTTCAGCGTTACTTCCGAAACATCATCATGAATCATCCAAGCATCTACAGCATTGTCGACTGCGTGTTTTAAATTGTATGCTTTCCAGTATTCTTGCAAAGAATATTATTCTTCCATAACTAGGTTTTGAATATTTTTTTTCCTGTATCTTCTTTTGAATGTGTTAATGACCGAATGATCCATTAGTTGTAACAATGATGCATTTGCAGGCAGAAAAGAGTACGTGATATTTTTATCGTCACTCCGCAGCATACCGGCTTTAGGATAGGCAGGTGCATTGTCCAAAATGAGAATTGTCGTTGGTGCAAATTTTTTTGCAAACAAAATGAATTGATGACTGAATTTTTACTTATGTTGTCAATATAACTTATGTATGGACCCTGACAATTAACAGAGGTGACGGTTAATAGACAAACGAAAAATCGAGGTTCCACCTTCTAAAGAAATCTACATTATATTTGGCAACAAAATTATATAACCATCTCCCTTTGCAACTTAAATCTGCAACATCTTTTCTTAAGTTCCGTAAAATGACAAAATACTATCTATCTGAAAGACAGTAAGAAATTACAGTACCTTTATCTACAAGTAACTATTTTAACTTTAACTAAGTAACTTTAAATTGTTATTTTTCTGTCTTTTTAAGCTTTCTCCACGAAATTGTACAATTTTCAGTGATAATAAAGCATAATGTCTATTCTGTTCTATTCTATAAAATGTTCCAATAATTTATGGTCTGTAATCCTTGAATTTGTGCTCTTAAAAATAAAATAAAAACTAGCCATTTGATATAGCTCGAACAGTTATAGTGAAATAATAAATAAAATAATTGGAATGATTTAAAATCGAAGAAAATTACTTACCTTCTTTAGATTATCTTTAGAGCTTGGTTCATTTGTGTTCATGGAACAGCTTACAAATTGAGTCCGTTGTTCTGGAGAATACATGTTGAGAACGCAAGCATGTATGGCACCCAAATAACTTTCTTCGGTTTCATATGGGTAAGAATATTGGGATTTTCTCAATTTTCCACCAAACTAAGAAATAAAACAACAAATTTATAGAGGTTTGCTTAAAAAACTTTGCTCTTAATAGTTCCTTTGGTTTTAAAAACTATTCAACATTTAAATTTTAAAAGTGTTGAAAACAGAAGTTTTCAACACTGTTTTATTGTTACATATAATTTATATTATTGAATGAAACGTCTCCGAAACTTTTTTCTAAAATATTATTTTTTAAAAACAGGACACACTTTACCTGTACTAAAGAAAGAGTTTTTAAAATTCTTTAACATTATAGTTAATTTAACTAGTAATTTTTAAAACTTACTGCTGTCTTGTTGACTTTTGGGATCAGATCTACGTTCAAATGACCACCAATTTGTTTATAAGCTGGATATAGCTGATTTGTAATAAATTTAACACTATCTTCTCCCAGTGGTTCATAGTAAACGGTTATTTTAATATTGTCGTCCTAAAAATTACAAACAATATGTAAAACTTTTGAAATAAACTAAAGTCACCAAAAATAATTTTTCCAAACAATTTACGTATTATAAAAATGGATGAAACATGTTGATACTCACTGCCCGAGATTCAGCGAAGAAAACTAATACAACAGCCAGGACTTGTACGCTGAAAAACATTGTTAATAATGAAACTGTATTGAAGGGAGGTAATCTTTATAATGTAAATGGTGTTAAATGATTTTTATTTCAGCGAAGTACCGAAGGGGGCGTACGTAAATGTTTTTGTGTCATATTACAAGTCTGTTGTCGAATTTTTAAATGTTCTGTTGATTATTATGAAAATAATGGTACAAGGTGAGTCAATTAAGGTATAATGTTATTTTTTCTTAACATGTCTTCTTCTTTTGGTGTCTATTCGTTTCGAATATTGGCGATCATTCTAGCTATAAATATTTTATTAACTGATGCTTTAAATAGATTAGTTGTTGTTGTGGAGAACCATTTCCTCAGGTATTTTAACCAAGATATTCTTCCTCCAATTCCTCGCTTTCTGAATACTTTGCCTTGAAGGATTATTCTAAGTAATCTGTATTTAATGCCGTTTCTCATTATGTGTCCGAGATATTCTAACTTTCTCCTTTTAATCGTATACATTACTTCATCACTTTAGTGAGTGGTCAGTGAGTGTCCAGGATTCAACTCCGTAGTAAAATATCAAAAAGATATAAAATCCTAGAAGCCTTACTTTTATCTCCAGATTAAGGTTGTGGCTTTTAAAGAGTTTGGCAATGTTGTTGAATGCGCAGCCTTCTCTATTTTACATTGTGCTTCTTGTGAGTGATCCCATTGTTCGTTTACTATTGTTCCAACATAGGTAAACTGTTTTACTCAATCCACTGGTGTATTCTTGATAAGTAGTTGGAAGTCTCTTATTTTATTTTTGCTGATGACCATAAATTTAGTTTTTGATATGTTTAGTTGTAGTCTAAATCTTTTACTTACTTCCTTTACTATCTATATTCTTCTTCTCCATGTGCTGTGCTCGATTATCGAACGTTGGCTATCAAATTGGCTATAGTAGTTTTGTTGACGGGAGCTCCGAAAAGAGATGCAGAGGATCTGTTAAACCAATCTCACAGTCACGGCTCAAAGAAGGTTATGGCTTAGAAAGAACGTCATGGCTTAGAAACCTGAGAGATTGGTTTAACTATATATTAGTTGCTATAATCAGTGAAGAAAATATCGAAAAAAAATATCGAAACAAAAAAAAATATTGAAAAAAAAAAATATATCGAAATATTTGTCCTTTTATTCAATCGCATTTATGATACAGGTAAAATACCCCAAGATTGGCTGGAGTCAATATTCATCCCACTACCAAAAAAGCCAAACCCACAACACTGCAATGAGTTCCGTCTGATAAGCCTTATGAGTCATGCAGTAAAAGTCCTACTAAAAATCGTACATAATCGTATCTATAGAAAGTGCGAAACAATCATCGGAGACGATCAGTTTGGATTCAGAGCCGGCATGGGAACGAGAGAAGCCCTGTTACTAGTTCTCGCCCAAAAATGCTACGACCAACAGAAAGATATATTTATATGCTTTATAGACTTCGAAAAAGCATTTGATAGAGTAAGACACACGACCTACTACTAGAACGTTTGCAAGAAGTCGGTTTAGATGGAAAAGACATCAAATTTTTAAAAAACTTGTACTGGAACCAAAACGCCACCTAAACGAGTTAGGATCGAAGTTTCCACATCCGCAGAAGTAGAAATTAGGAGGGGAGTTAGACAAGGATGTGTTCTGTCGCCTCTGCTGTTTAATATTTACTCCGAGTTTCTATTTAAAGAAGCATTGGAGGAATGGCGTAAATATCAACAGTATCAGATACACCGATGATACAGTGGTAATTGCGGATTCCGACTTAGGTCTACAACGACTAATCGACAAGACCAACTCGACCTGTGAGCAATTTGGTATGAAAATAAACATTAAAAAAGGCAAAGTGATGTCAATCCGAAAAAACCAAAACGTACCTCAACCTTGCACAATAAATGGGCACATTTTAGAACAGGTCAATAGATTTAAGTACCTGGGATGTTGGATCGATTGCAGCCTAAATCCTGATCTAGAAATAAGATCGAGAATAGAACAGGCCAGAAAATCTTTCGAAAAAATAAAAAAAAGTTAGAAAAACATCATACCTAGGCCACATACTGAGAAATAATAAGTACCAATATGCCCAACTTATAGTGAAAGGAAAAATCGAGGGAAAGAGAGGCCTAGGAAGGAAAAGACTATCGTGGCTCAGAAACATCCGACAATGGACAGGGCTAAATTTTGAACAGCTATTAAGAACAGCTGAAGATAGAGAAGAGTTTAAAATTATAGTAGCCAACCTCCATTGAGAAGAGGGCACTTTAAGAAGAAAAAGAAGAAGAAGATTAATTGCTGTATATTGTTTAAACTGTCTTCAAAAACAGCGGTGTCATTTGCATAGCGGATGTTGTTTAGGCGTTCTCCATTTAAAAAGATTCCATGTTCGCAATTTTCCAAGACTTCGCAGAATTCGGATGGCTTCCTTTGGTTCATCTCCAAGATTTGTTCTTATTGTGGCTGATTGGATCCAGTATATATTTTGTATGATACGCCATTTTTTATTATCTATTTGGGCTGTTGTTAAAACATCCATCATTTTTCGGTGTTGAACTGGGTCAAATGCTTTTTGGCATATCTTTGCATCTTTAGGATAATAGCTGTATACTAAGCAGTGCATCTCTCATACCTACGTCTTTTATGAATCCAAATGTGTGTCTTGTATTCTCTCTTCGCATAGCGTGTATATTCTGCGATGTTTAATTTAAAAAAAGTTTTAGTGTATGGCTCATTAGACTTATTAGCCTATATTCTTCACATTTTTCGCTCCCTGTTTGTTTCGTAGCGTAACAAATTTTGAAACTTTAACTATATACTATATATTTGAAACTATATACTTAATCTGTTGAAATATTGCCTGTGTCATAGATATTATTGAATATTTTACATAGTATTTTTAAAGATTCATCATCAAGAAATTTAAGAAATTCACACTGTAGTCCGTCTGGTCATGGAGCTCTCCCTTCTTTTAGTGATATCATGGCTGCCCCTATTTCTGCCACTAGTATAGGTGGTCCTGTTTCCGTAGGTATTGGGGACTGGTTTTCCCTCTCATCAAAAAATAAATGTGTAATTTTTCCAGGTATTATCAAAAATTAATTATCTAACCTTTATCCGTAATTTATCTAACCTTTTTATGCACTGTTTGGCTTCTCTGATCTTTCTCTGTATATCTCGTTGTAATGTTTTATACATAAAGTTATTGTTCTTGTTTTTTCTTCTTTCTTCCATCAGCTGCAGAATCTCTGTCATTATCCATGTCTTATTCTTACCTTCTTCGTTCTTCATAAAATTGTCTTTAATATCGTCTATCATTTTATTAAGTGATTCTATCTTCTCTTCTGTGCTTTCATTGTCTTATCGATTTCTTCGAATTTTATATTTATTGTTTTGCTGATTATTTCTTTTACTTCACTACATTTCAGTTTTCTCATTTAATGTTTTTTTACACGTTTTTCGCGTGTTTTCTTTAACTTGGTTCTATACACGCCCACGCCCAGATTGAATACCAGAGACTGGGTAGGTTTTAACACTGTTAAAAGTATTTCGATATCTTTTGTTAACACGTATATAGTATATTTGGTTTTTTATAATAACGTCTTCTCCGTTATCTATAGGTGATTTCCACGTCAACATGTAATTTTGGTATATTATATTTCTTAAATCCAAGAGTTAAGGTCTATATTTCTAGACTGCTGCAATACAAGTTGTAGTGTTTTTATTTTTGATTAAAATCAATTAAGAATAGTCAGAACTAGATGTTTTATTTATCAGCAAACAGTAATTATCTTTAGATGAACAAGTTCTTGTTTTAATTGCATCGAAATAGACTTTGTTATTTTTGTCTAGGCACCTGTTGCACTGAATGTTGTTTTAAGAATTCATGTATCGGTAAATATAAAATGAGTTGGTTCTCAATAAAATTCGTGTAAAGTGGAGAACTTGTTTTTTATTTACTTTGACATTCTGAACTGCTGTAATACTCAACTTGAACTGTATAATCAACTAGGAATAGGTGGAAATATATACTTTGGGTCGATCACGATCGTCCGTTTGTTCACTGCTGATCTATATTACAATGATGATGACAATAAAAATATAGTTATTTTCTACTGTTTGAACTAAATGAAATGTGCAAATTATATGGAGGGATAGTTGGCAATCTACCTCAAAGAAAATTAACTAGAGGCAGCTTCAGAATTAAACAGATCGAAAGATCTCCAAGAAGTAAAAGAAGAAGAATAAGCAAATGATATATCTTTCAGACAGCCTTTTTTAGTTTATATGAAGTTTTTTGTTTATGATCATCAGAGTAGACCGAGTAATCAGACTTCCATCTTTGACATGAGACTTTTCATACTATACAAGTGGTGTATAGTATACATCTTTTAGTCTTCTCTGTCGAATGTCTTTTTCAAGTCGATCAAAGATGCGGGTCTATTGCCTTTGAATGCTTTCTCTGTAATTTGTTTTATGACAAATATTGGATATATACACGACTACTCCGTATGGAAACCTTGTTGCTGATCTTGTAAGTGTATGAGCTGATTTATTCATTTTAGCAGTGCTTGTTTTTAATTCTTCTTACAAGTGCACTGGAAGTCGAAGAAGTCAAATAAATTGGAATGCCACAAGAAAATAGTTTCATAACAATAATTAATTTTTATTATTTGTTATTTTCGTTTTCTTTGTAAGTAAATGCTATTTTATAAAACATCTAGGATATTCAAGAAATTAAACAGAAATTTTATTATTGTATATATATTATATTTTAAGCTAAAATCAGTTTAATGCCTTCTTCTTTACATTCTTTTGGCTCATAGTTCAAAGTCTTGCAGATCAATTTTCTGAAGTCACTAAGCGCGTCGTCCTGATTTTCCTGACTGAATTTGTCGTTTAGCACGATAGTTGGAATGAAAGAAGTATTTTCAGCTGCTCTAGTTTTTTCTCCATTTTGTATAAGATATTTGACGTATTCATTACTAAAGTAACAGTTTTTAATTGTTTTCCACACCAGATCGGCTTTGTCAAGACACTAAAAAAAGAGATGATCAAGTAGAAAAATACGGTAAAATTGGATTAAATCTGTCGTACCTGTTCGATAATTTGAAGGCTAGCTGGATCGCTTGAACTCATAGAACAGTAGACAAAGTTTTCTGTTTTGATTTTATCGGAGTTTAGAGCAAGGACACAAGAGTGGAAAGCGTTTCCGAAACATTCTGCAGGGCCATGTTGGCAAGTAAATGCCCATTGTCCTGTTATATTTGTTTCCTAAAAATTACCAAGTTATTAGTTAGTTCATAATAGTATTTTATGTAACGAGCATACAATAATGGTCATTGTAATGCGAGTATGAGCGATATGAATAAGCTGCTACGCTATAGAATACGAGGATCATAATGGCAATTAAATGGGAGTAAGGGACAGGCTGGCAAAATGGGGTAGCTGCCTGAAACAGGGTACCCTTTTTTCAATATTAGGGGAAGGACGGGGAAGATGACGCAGCGTCTAAGATGACGCACCTCTGTATTTTATCAAGTACTTCACTAAATTCAGTTTTTATACCCGTGGCGCCCTCCTTTAGAAACTACTATTACTTTAAAACTTCATCGGTCAGCTTTCGTACTGTTTAGTATCTGTGAGGCAGAGTAACGCGATACACGTTGATTTCTTGTTATTTTTGACACTGCGAATATTAATGGTAAGTTGTTTAAAAATGGTTCCATTGGATTTTCTTCATATTCATGGGAGTAGGTGATATTTATTTTCAGTTAGCGAGGATTTATCTGTTAAATATTTGATGATGGATAATTTTGATAACCATTTTTTGTAGGTTATGCTGAACAGGCTAAGTTGACGCAGACTGCGTCATCTTTGCTGTTATAGTGCGTCATCTTTGCCTTTTCAGTTCATTACCTTAAATAACAATGGAGTATAGAATATTTATTATTTAGTGTCTATTTTGCATTTTGAGGCATCTTTTTCTTTTTTAGAAATGGGAAAATATATACGAAAAACACAGAGAGGATCATTTTCTGCAGCAGCTCTTAATGCAGCATTGAATGCAATTTGTAGAGATGGTCGTAAAATTCGGGAAGTGGCAAGGGCATTTTCAATACCAGAAGCTACATTGAGGAGAAAACTTAAGGTTAAAAATTTATTAAAGGAAGTCAAATCAGAGTCTCTTGGTAGAGCCCCATTGTTTTCGGCACATCATGAAAAGGAGATACTAGATCATGTTCTCAAGCTGGCCAATTTATTTTTTGGTATCACTTGCATAGAGCTGAGAACCATGGCATTTGCTTATGCAGAACGCAATGAAATTAAACACAATTTTAATAAGAATAAACAAATGGCTGGAAAAGACTGGTATCTAGGATTTATAAAACGAAATCCTCAAATTTCCTTGAGAAAGCCAGAAGCTACAAGCATTAATAGAATAACAGCCTTCAATAAAATAGAAGTAGACCGCTTTTTTAAAAATTTGGAAACAGTGCAAGAAAAATATAAATTTCTGCCAGATCGCATTTACAATGTTGATGAAACCGGTATATCTACGGTTCCTAAAGAATCATGTAAAAGACTTGGACCCAAAGGAGTAAAGCAGTTTGGAATCATTTCTTCGTGGGAACGAGGGAAGAATATCACGGTAATAATGGCGTTCAGTGCCTCCGGTAACTACATACCTCCATTATTTATATTTCCCAGGAAGAGGATGAGCCCACAGCTTCAGAAAAATGGACCAAGCGGTGCGATTTACAACTGCACGGATAATGGATGGAGTAATACGTCTATGTTTTTATTATGGCTGAAGCATTTCCAAAAAAAAGTCCTGTCTAGTCCAGATAATCCCGTGCTGTTAGTATTAGATAATCACTCGAGCCATATTTCACTGGATATTTATAATTACTGCAAAGAGAATGGGATTATAATGGTTAGTATTCCACCCCACACATCCCACAAATTACAACCTCTTGATGTGTCATTTTTTTCTGCATTAAAATATGCGTATGGTCGCCATTGCAATTCCTTTCTAAAATCTAAGATCAGCAACTCAGAGTTTGAAGATAAAATTACTCCATATGATGTCGCCGAGATTTTTAAGTTAGCATATGATCAGGTGGCAAATATTGATAAGGCCGTTTCTGGTTTCGGAACGTGCGGAATTTTTCCGTTAAACTCTGATAAGTTCACAGAAGATGACTTTTTTCCTGCTGATAATTTAAACAATGATAGCTTGGATAGAGATGTTTCTCCTGAACCTGCACCTCAGGGAACACCTCCACTAATAACAACACCATCTATAAGAGAACCAGAATTACCACGTCCATCAACCAGCCGACAGTCTCCTGAAAGTCGTCACACAACCCCCACAAAACAAAATGAAATAACCAAACGTCCACATATTTCTCTTTCACTTATTTCTCCAGTTCCTTTGCCCAATAAAAAAATTAAAAGAAAATATGGACGACAAAAGCAACATTCTGAAATTCTAACAAGCACCCCTTTAAAAGAATTCTTAGAAGAAAAAGAGAATAAAAAAAAAGAAAAACTGGCGAAGTCGGAAGAAGGAAAGAAAAAAGTAACCAGACAAGTATTGGTTAATGATGCAGGATTAAAACTAAATAAAAATAAAGGGAAAGCCAAAGTACAAAAAATAATCAAACAAAAAATAAACAAAAAAATCTTGGAGGATAGCGATACTGAAGAAAGCGATTTTGATGAAGAAGGTCTTTGCAATGACGATGAGTTGGATGACATAATCAACGAGGGAGGTGAAACTGATATCTGCATATTATGTGGAGACTTCGGCAAAAAGACGGAAACATGGTTCAGATGCACAAGTTGTGGACAATGGGTGCATAAAGAATGCAGTGGAGCCAAAAGTCCCGAAAACTACATTTGTGACTTTTGTTAATATGTTAAAAAAGCTTTGTTTACATTTTCTTACTTTCAGTATTAAAAAATAAATTTTCTTTTCATATCACTTGCGCTTTTAATATAGATACCTACATGCGCCATCTTCACCATCACTGTGCGTCATCTTTCCCTCGGTGGAAGGTAAGATGGCGCAAAAGCGTTTTTTAAAAAAGCCGCATAAAAAATACTTCCTTTTATTGAATTTAAAAATAATCCTAGAAATTGGTTATAGAAATGTCCAAATTACAGGCTCGTAGCATTCAAAGTTAGCTTAAATATTTTTTACCCTTAAATAAAATGTATTTTGCTTAGGTGCGTCATCTTCGACGTCCTTCCCCTACTTGCTCCATCTATACGACGTCAATAAAATTATATTACAGATACCTGTTTACGGCTTCTATCATAAAGCAAATATCATTAGTTGTTAGTCGATTGTTGTGAACAGTACATGTGTGTTTTTAGTAAATTAAGTTATAATATCGACCGACAATAATCCATCGTAAGTATTATTGAACTAAATACCATTATCTCCAAATAAGAGTGAATTTATTCTAAATAATATCTTTGTCATTAGGTTAAAAAAAATACTTCTAATAATTTAAGCAGGTCATAATATCAAAATCTGCTCTTTGAGCAAAATGGGGTACCAATAGGTAGGGTAAAAAGGGTACCCCGGTAAAATAAAATTGAAAACCTGTAAACAAACGGAAGATCTGTCATTACTTTTGACAGAATTGACATTGCGGAATTAAGCTTCCTTTGATTATTTTATTGACACCCCAAGACTGTGTTAAAATGAATGATTGGTTAAAGTCTTCGTGAGAGAGATAGACTGTCATTTCTCTTTATTAACTTGCTGGGGTTAAAGTTATGGGATAATGAACCAAGGTCATTCATAAGGGATTCCAGGGCATGGCATATTCATTTGACTTTTGCTCATTGCGTTTGTGCCACCTGATACAGAACGTCATCTCGCGACGCCTGTATCATAATGAAGCCCATTACGATAAAGGTATAGAAATTTTAATTGTATTACAGTATGGGTGTAGTAAAAAATGTTTTATATTTGTCATATCAGTAGGTTATGATTACGGTCACGGGGCTCTAGGCACAATGTAGGGAGACTCGTTGTCAGTTGTCACTACTTGTCAACATCATTGTTAGAACATGGGGTTTTGGATTTGGACAATGTTGATTCCTAGAGACTTTGTTAATACGTATGTTTATAATAAACATGTAAATGTAATAAACACAATTAAATATTACTACTATATTGCTGTAACGAGTTCTTTTCTAACCATTCCAGGGTTTTCAAGTTTCTCGGAAAATAGATCGATGATATTTGTTTAATTTTCAGTAGGAACTTTTCCACATTATTATATTTTTTTACGCTTTTATTGTGGAGAAATACATATTCTTATGTTTAATTTCTTATATCAAATCTGTTTTATATGTTAAGCTCAATACCTTGAGTTTTTATATCGTAAGAGGAATTGTACAAAATATTTTTTATTTTTGCTTTGAATAAAGTTAATTTAAAAAATAATAATTTATGAATAAGACAATTAAAACACTTACTGATGCATGACCATATGGTATAAATTCTACATCAATGTAATCTTTGAGATCCTTGTAAGTAGGATGGAATTGGTTTGAAATAAAGTCAATGCTGTCTGGGCAAAGCACTTCATAATAAACAGAAACTTTGACTTGCGCCTAAAAATAAAAAAGTTAAATTAATATTTAAACAACCAATTTATCTACGTGGTTGATGAAATTGTTATAAGAGCAGACACTTCAGAAGCACTTCAACATCTACACAATTATGCTGTAAATAAAGTAGATAGATTTGGTAAAAAAATTAACGTGTCGTATACAAAACTGATAAACAACAAAAACATCTACGGGCAACCAAATATACCTAGGTCTAAATGTACCGATATTAGAGAATATTGAAAAATTCAGATACCATGGTTAAATAAAGAAAAACATTGATGTGATATCAAAGTTACAACGCGATTTCATTAATCCAGGGCAATAATTAAGAAAATACATAAATAAAATTCAACAACATAAGATACTGACTTGGTAAAACATACACAATTGTATTATATGGTATGGAAACATAAACTTTAACCAACCTTTGTTAAACGCAGAAGGTACTAAGAGAAGAAAAGTTGATAATAAAAAGTACATCTCAAATGTTGTCCTAAATGTACTTACCTGTTCTGATAACCAAAGGCAAGAGAACAAAACTAGAAAATTGATTGCTTTTCCCTTCATATTTGCCTTTTATCTATAATTGTGAACTAATGTTATAACAACACATTAAATATGTTACCAAAATGTAAATAATATTGGTTTATCATTGTTATTTAAGTGCTTCATTAATTTTATCTAAATGTCTGTATAATAATCTCAACGGTATTTTTTTATTAACCGACGAGTCATCATTTGGAGAGCAAAAAAACAGGATCTTCCGTAATTCATAGGTAGTTCAGCTCTAATATAATTATTTTAAAGACAACTACCTAGATTAAACTGGTAAACTGAATTATTTAAACAAAAGAAAATTTTATCCTAGGGTAGAGTGAGGCAAAATGGTCCCTGTAACATCTTTTAGGCTAAAAATAACAAAAAAAGAAACAATTAAGTAAAATTTAATCAAACAATAAGAAGGGTATAGCAAAATATATCTCTGTGGAAAAATTATATTTATATATACAATTAAAAGAAAAATATCATTATTTTTGAAAAGCTCTAAAGGGACAGTTTTAATCCGTGAATGAGGTAAAATGACTCCTACAGTTCTTTTGTACAGAAAAAAGTAAGAAAGCAGCTATTTACAAAAATCGCAAGTATGCATACCATTTCTCCTACTACACCCGCATATAATAGATGGCATATTTATTGCGCAAAGTGCAGTTAATCCAAAACTTCTTTGCCTGCGATTTATTGAATAATTCCTAGCAAAATATGCAGGTGGCGTCGTCTTCATCATCATTAAATCTTTTATTTTCTTACTTTTTTTTTGACGTTTTTTTTGAAGTATCCTCCTACACAAGATGAATGAATTTCATTCCTATTAACGACATCTTTCTGTTCTGAAGTACTAATTTCGGAAATTGGTATTGAGTTACTAATTACAGAGCTTGTAATGTCAACTATATCGTTTGAAACAACGACTTCAGGCTTTGAAGTTGCAGTGCATAAAGTTTTATTTTTTGATAATCCCTCTGGACTGTTTCCAAAAAGGTGATATTATCCGAAGATCGTCCATTTATTTCCATTACTCTCACTCGTCTGACAAAGATGTATTACGATTTTTTTTCCTTATAAGTAAAGAGCTTGAAAGCGAAGAGGTATCTCTTTATATTTTTCTTTTCCTTCTATGTAAAAAGCCTGGAAATGAAAAAGTATCCTTTTGTGGAGAAGTAGTTTTTGGTTCATGAATACGAATTCATTTTCCACTATAGGTCGATCAGTTGTATACGATGGTTTAAATTTATAATCTGGGAATATGCTCGGATTAAAAGGACATGTGTATGTTGTCCCGATTTCACTGAGTCCGTTGTTAAGTGTGGTAGCTGTTGTTCTCGGACGCGACTAGTTCACGTTCGAGACGCATCGCCCCGCCCTTATTTTTCTCGTTGGCCCCTCCCTGACCTGGAAATCCCTAATCGCTACTTCAGAAAGTATAAAAATAGGCGATTTTCAGGTCAATCAAGTCAGTCCTTCACGGGCTCTCCGAGAGCTTAGTGCTCTCGGGGCTCCTGCTTTCTTTTAGCTTTTTCCCATACTCTGTGGCTGAGATGTTATTCTACTGCAACCTGGTATTTTTATTTCGACTTTACCTTTGTCATGTAAGAAATATCTTGCCTTTTTCAAGGCAAGATACCAGAAGAAAACATTTACGAATCCATACCCCGCAAATGGATTCAAGTAGAGGGGCTTTCGTCGACGTTTCCGAAGCCCTCTACAGAGCACACGGTGGTACAGAAGGTGATTGAGACCCTTTCCATTTACCCCGAGGTGACACTGTTTGATAAAATTTTCCCATCAAGCTAGCTATATTGTACAGAGTTACGACTTTTCCAGAGTTTGTTTTAAGCCATAAAATAATTTCCTTATTAAAATACGCCATTAGAACCCTATCTTCAACCGAGCAGTATATATGTTGTTGAAAATTATTTAAGAACAAAATAAAGGTGTAAAATTTTATGTATCAAGATTAGTTGTAAAAAAAAGTATTCCATATGGGACGCCTTGATTCATTTCTTTGTTTGCGAGGAAATAATATTGCTGGAGGAATGAATTGACCTGCAGCATTTACACAGAGAACAATGGTGACTTTGTATTTACTTTCAGAAAGCTTATTAAGAAACCAACCTGTTTCTGCCCTTTATGTTCAAAAATTTTGGCAACTTGCTAGGGACCACCTGGATACCAGACTCACCCATATTATATATTCTTAAAGCATTAATGTTTTTTTAGTTTTGAATTTGATCTAAAAGGGAAAAAAATTAAAGTCACTCGCTCTGGTGGCTGAGGTAGCCTCAGGAGTTCTAAAAGAAGTCTCTGAATGTCTTTTTACAAAATTTTTAAACCCAGCCGATCTAGCTGACTTTTTATTTTCAGAAAATCTGTGTTTAATAGCGATCCTCTCCGCAAGTTCGTAGGCTGTTTCATAAATGTTTTCTTCGCTATGCCAAATATTCGGTCTTCCATTTATAAAACATATTCGTTTAAATAAGTCTCCAATTCTTTGGGCAATGTTGCAGTAAATCGACCAAGGCTTTTCGAATAATCTGTTGCCTAAAAGAAAGTACCGATAATGTTCTGACGTCTCTTACCAACACATTATGATTTACTATCATTTTCTTAAGTACTTAAGAGCAGCAACCATTATTTCTGTAAAAATGATATACCTACTTTCATTTTAGCCATTTAGTCATTTATTATTAAATTATTATTACTAACAAAAAATGAAATACGCCAATTCGATCGCACGCAGATTTATACTCGCTTCCAGCTCAGTCCGGCGGAAGCGCCAAATGTTCTCGCAATAAAAATATTCGACTGTGCAGATCCACGGTAACGTTCAATCCACTATACCCACGGGTTCAGCTTGATTAAGGACAGAGTATAAGCCTCACTGCGGAAGTCTCTCTGTCCGGGTTGGCTAGCAGATTCAATACACTAGCGAGCCAGGGAGTCTAGAGCAATACAAGACTAATTTAATTCCGCCAGTCGTTCGCTTTAAATAGCCGCTCCGGACCCCATCTCGTCGTCTCGTCGTGGAAATGGATGCGTGTTTATCGACACTCCTACGATTCGAACTGTTGAACGTTCAGCACATCGTTACATAATTTTACCACAAATGTCAATTTTCATTTTAGATTTGAGGGTTCGTGTAACGCGCATTCTTCTAAGAAGTGATAAAATGCCCAGAAAGATCTTTATCTGCAGATTTGACTGTGTATCGTAACAATGCTCGAATATTACCATCATTCTAAAATGGTTGCTCAGACTCCTGTGTAATGTGGATTCGCCTCAAATCAGTTTTATTTCTGTTCCTGTTGCTGTCAAGCAGAAGACATTACTTTTAATCCACGAGGTAGGAGGGAATCCAAACCAGATATTTTATTATAATAGTTAATGTTATTGTCTTTTCGGGGGTGGGGTTTGAATCCCCGAACTTCCCTCCCTCTTGGCTGCGCCAATGTTATAAGAGTTAACTCAATATTACCTTCTATTTCTAATTATTGTATAATTTTATAATTCTTCAAGTTATATTTTAAACAGAAATGAAAATCTTAACTGAAGTAAGTGGCAATAAGAAATTTTATGTGGATTAAAGATTTTAATCCTTTTTACGAAACTTGTTGGTTTCTTAATGATAATATTTTATACCTACAGCGATTATGAAGCTACCCACATAATTGCTTTATTAAAATTTGTGCTACATTTGAAATGAAGAAAATTTCAAATAATTTTATTTAGCTATAGCGGTAATTATTAATCGAGGAAGGAGGTCAGCACTAAAGGATTTGGTAAAAGTTATTCAGCAGGAAACCTACACTTACAGGGATCCCATTACAGAATTTTTGGAACACCTTTATGTCAACTTCGATTTCGATGGAGCCCCTCAAAAATTACATGAGTGTCAAACAGTTTTACTAAACGACTTCTTCCTAATTTCTTGTTTAGACATGTTTGTAGAAAATGCAAGACTTATGATCTTCGAAACATTCTGCAGAATTCATCAATGCATCAGTATAGGTATGTTAGCTGAAAAGCTCAACATAAATCCAGAAGAAGCTGAATGCTAGATTGTGAATTTGATTAGAAACGCTACGATCGATTCTAAATTGGGGCATGTGGTTATGGGTGCCCAACATTTATCGCCATACCAGCAACTTATCGAAAAAATTGATTCCCTTGTGGTCAGGTTAGAAAATCTGTGTGCTCTAATTGATAGAAAGCTCAGAGCGAGGACTGACATACGTTGGGGAAATCCGGATTTTTAAATAAGGGTTATTTTGTATTAATTCTGTGTCATTTATTTGATGACATTATAACAAAAAATTAAAAAATTCAAAAAAACACTTAATTTTTTATTTAAACTTAAATATATTATAAATACATATTTAAATACAAACTGATTTAAAGAATATATTAATATAATATAAAGAATACATTGTAAACAACTTTTTTTAATAAAATTATGTAAGACGTTAATATACCGTATGTTCACAAATTTCCAAATTCCACTTTAATTTGTATTTAATAAACGTTTCATGTTGATCCAGATTAATCAATAGCTATCAACAAGTAGGAAATCATATTTTTAAATTTTATGATTAGATAAATATTCTAATTAAAATATAACGATTATTATAATTCCTGACTTCAACTTGTCATCCACAGTATGTATGTTTAAACCTTAAGCTAAGATTAATACTATTACAACTAAACAATCTTCCGGGATGAACAGCGTCTATTATCACTGACCTGAGCTTTCGACATCCTCTCTAATATCCTCTTCAGAGCTTCCAAGTTCTCAGTCTCCCAAGCCCCGGAAACTGCTACACTGACTCAATGCATTACTGCTACCTGGAACAGCGAACGGTTCATTTATATCATCGATGGTGAAGTGATTTGGGAGGAGGTTGGTGTGAGGCTTGGCGTGGAGATTGGCGCAAATATTTTTGACAGCAGGATTTAGTTTATAGAGTGGAGCTGACGACATTTTCTTTATGAATGGTCTTCATGTCGAAAGTAACCGGATGCCGTCATATTTTTTATTGAGAAAATTTCGCCTTGTTTCAATTTCTATAACTTCTCGG